TGCCAGAAACTACAGCGATATTCACCAATGGCCAAATAGTGGTAAACAGCATGAGTTATATGTGTACCTTCTGGTCAAGCAACAGTACCCTATAGGGAAACAAATAAATTACTATAACACAAATATTTAAAGATCATAATATGGAGTGAACAGATCAATTTATAATTACAGATTTAAAAGTTTGCTTTAGAGATTACATTCTAGAACAGACATTTGGAAAAAAATGGTTATTTGGAAGTCTTCAGAAGCAAACTATGGTTTGGATAAGGACACTCTTTATGGCATCATGCGTTGAACATACAGCGTCGGCATTTCACTGAATTAGTTTAACCAAAACAAATGAGAATTATTGTTGTAGTGGCTTTCTGTTTTGCTTCCATGGCTTGCATTTTCCTTGTTCAATTCCAGGCAGGATTGTTCCTTCTAACAGTTTATGGCACAACCTGGCCGAGGAAATCTTAACAGGAACTAGTTATTTGGACAAAGCTAAGCATATTTATAGGGAAATAAATAAATTCCCTGTTCAAACTGGTAGCACAAAGGTATTATGTGACAAACTATCAATGGGTCTAAAGAAAGCCTAGCTTCTCTTGACTGGATTTTTAACACATTTTTAGAGGGCATCTTGATGAACATACATGTTAGCAGACATTGTCTCTTTAACTGTTCAGTTCCCCCTGCCCCAATCCAGAAAAAATAAAGTAGGGTTCTTCTTTAAAATCAAAGACAACCAGTATTAAAGGAGTGCATTAATAAGTGTCATTTAGGAACAGGATCCAAAGTTACAGGCATCAATATTTCCCAGCTGCATAGATCTTTTGTTGCCAAAGTCCCAAGAATGTCACTTTTCACTAGCAGACACTAGAAAAGCTACAGGTAAAAAAAAAGCAAATCAGTCTGAAGTGTTACTGCCTTCTGCATGATCTCCCCTCCTCCCTACACCTCGAGCCTGCTCTGCCCACAGCCCACCATCTGCTTGCTTATGCACTTCCTTCATGCACTCTGCCCTTCAGGTAGGTAGAGAACCCCCTTTATCTGGGAGAGACTCAGCGACATGGATAATCAAACCTTTCTTCCCAAGGAAAGGCTACTGATCAGCAAACAGCAGCTCCTTCTCAGACACGATGGAAAGAGACACATCAAGAGCTGTACACAAAGCAGGCTGTAAGTCTGGAGGGTGTAGCCATCCAAGGCTCAGTTCATGGCCTTGATGAACTGAGGTTGTTACTGTGGCCTGATGGTATTTTCATTTAAAGCACTGTTACGCTTCTAACTCTCATCATTGAACAACACCTAGAAATACAAACTGAATGTATTCAGTAAATGTATGCCTTCCCTAGTCTATATGATCAGACTCTTTTGTGATTCTGCCAGCAGAATTACCTCCCTTTTTTTTTCCCCCCTATTACAAATTTCCATCACTGCCCCCCACGCCCAATATTGACAGATTGAAAGGAGAAGGCAAGAGATAAGGCCACTAAAAGTGTCCCTTGGCTGCATTATTGTGATTTTGTAGGGCAGCATTAGTTAAATTAGAAAACAGCTGGCGAGCAGAGACTCCATAAAGCCATGCTTGATGGCTGTCCAGAGAACATGTCACCAATCTAATAATGGCACGGGGCAATTCCCAGAAATAAAAAACAAGTTTCTGAAACATCTAATTACGTCACACTTTAAAAGCAAATATTAATTTCTGATGGAAGGTCAAACATTCCTGAGATAGAACTGTGATGTGATCCCCATGGCAGGAAAAGAGGTCAGAACATGACAAAAGATGTAGACACTGCAGAATCTGGGTCCCAACAGTTTACTTCCCGCTGCTTCACAGCAGCTGACAGTGGCAGATCTTGGTTTAGAAAAGCCTACAAAGATGTCCTTTTGTGCCCCCAGTAAGTATAACCGTACACTTGAGGAGAGTTTACAACACCTAACAAATCAAAAGGAAGGGAATAATGGCAGAAAGTGAATTGAGAATGAAGTTACAGGTTGCACCACTGAAGTCAGCATTCACTTTCTGCAAACAAACTTTCTTTTAGAATGCAGCCACAGCCAATACAACATGATCAGGATAGCTAGTTCAGACATAGCAGATGTCCATCTCCACAGACAGCATAACATTTCTTTGCTGCTGATTTCCCCCTTGAGATGATCAAGGTCATTTTTCAAGGAAGACTAGAGATTGTTTTAACATTTATAATCATGAATTTGATATTTTCTTTTTTGACTACTTTATGATGACTGATTCTTGGTTTTCAATCCAGAAATTATTATTAAATCTCTGAAAACAGTTATGTGTAAGTTTGGAAGTTTGTGGGGCTTTTTGGTTTTGTGGGTTTTTTTGTTAGGTTGGTTTTAAAAAAAAAAAACCAAAAGCACAGCAATTACTGATGGTATCACTTGTTCCATTTGAAAAACAAACAGCTCCCTCCCTCCCCACTTCAGGGCAGTTGCCAGGTGCTCGCATACTGCAGAACCTCTCTAAACTTTGAGTTTCAGCTCAGCAATCATGAGCCAAATCATATATAAGTATTGATGTTTGCCACTCCACAGTTAAATTACATCAAGCATCAATGCAATCAACTCATTAGCTGTTTTTTATTGAGCACCAACATTCATTACTTACTTTTCAATTCTTTGATTAAGCAACATATTGCCTGTATTCCCAGTCTACATCTACCAGCTGATTAGCTCAATAATACTGATAATCTTCTCAAGTCAAAAGAGCTGGGAAGGGAAGTAACTGAAATCCCTATGAGCAGACTCAATTTACTCCTTTTGTGTATAACATCAATACACTAAACTACTAGCAATACAATCCAGCAAATGAAACTTCAAATGTGCTAAGTTAGAGAGTAATTTTAACAAAAAGTCACAGCAGGTCATTAAAATGCCCCTTAATTGTTTCTAGATCATACTCCGTTATCCTTCCACAACCTTCCTGGCATGCTGAGATTTTAAATCTCTTCTCACTGATGCAAGAAGCAAGAACAGAATTGAAGTGTGATTGTCACATACGGAGTCTGAATGCCAAAGGTCAAAACAGCTTACTGGTATGCTGGCCCACTGCACCAAATTTTATATCTTTTCTGTCCCTTGGTTATTGCCTGACATGATTTAACAACTGTAATTCCTTATTTAACGATGTCAAAGGTTTTTAGGAAATTGACTGTATTTCACCAACGATATATTTCTTCTTGATTACAGAGTGGTTAAAATGATTTTAAACCAAGACAGCAAAATAAAGCAGTAATAAAATCAATAAAAGGTGCTTAAAACATTCCTTCTATTAGGTAATGGCATTTAAAATATCCGTAGCTTGTAATGGCACTTAGGATATGCCCAAAAATCAATGAGCTAAATTACTTATTGAACTAGTTAATTTGAACATTGAGTTTTATATGTATATTGATAAAACAAGCTGCAAGAATACTGGCTATATTTGAATTTCACGGTCAGATGTCTCCCTCTGCTGGAAACAAAAAAAAAATATCTAAAAACACCACCAGAATATTTTTTTTAAAACGAGCTATACTAAAGGATGTAACGTCTAAAAAACTCCACAAGAGGTCTCTAATTCTCGTAGAGTTTGTCAATTAATGCTGCTTTTGCTGAAACCTGCAAGTGTTAGAAGATGCTAAACAGCAACACACAACTAGATTTCTCCCAGAATACTGCCATTTAGTGACACCCAAGAAATATGCGAAAAACACATAATATGTGGGAAAAGCGTAGAAAATAAGGGATATCATGTGCTTTAAAAACAGTGAGACTACCCTCAAGAATTTTGCTAATAGTTCTCATGTTAGAGATTCAGGAGTAACAGCCTCAGGTTGTTTTCTTGCTAGAAGTAAATTACAAAAACAAACAAACAAACAAACAAGCTCTGTGTCTACCAGTCCTACTCTCAAGGTGCAGAAACCCTCCTACAAATACAAGCCTAAGCACTCAGTTTAGTCAGTTTCACCTTTACATTGAAGACAGCTGTGCTTCAGAGAGGAAAAACATTTGCAAAATAAGAGAGGCTGAAGGATGTCAGGTTTGCCTACAAACCCAAACAAATTAGCCTAACACAGTCCCCTCAGAAGAAAGCAAACACTGATAGTAATAAAGATTTCTGCCTAGTTACATAGACTTTTATCTCTGCAGTATTGGGAAGCCTGAAGTGACTCGAAGCTCTGGAACGAGAGGCCAGGAGATGGAGTTCTTTCCAGCACAGCCTGCAACAATTCCCCAAGTTGCAGAGACAGAACACAGGAGCTGAGGCAGAACACACAGCTCAGGGGAGGATTAGTGCTATTAGTGCTCCATCAAGAGGACAAGACAGCACCCCCGCATTTTAAACCTGCAGTCTAGCGGTAATGGTAAGACTATGACATCATTCTGAGGCCGCTCTCTCATTTTTTGAAAGGTCATGGTGATTAGGAGACGTTCCTGCCAACTGGAAAAAAGGCAAATGCCACACTCATCTTCCACAAGAGCAGCAGAGGGAGCCGGGGAAGGCTGGCCAGCCCCTGACACCTCTGCCCCTGGAAGGATTATGAGGAAAAACTCTCGCAGGCCATTTAATCAGCCGGTGAATAAGGGACACTCTGGCTGGAGTCGGAGGTGGGTTGGCGGGGCTGTCCGCCTCCCTCCGAACCTGCCTCTTCAGACCCCCGGCTGGCAGGAACAGCCCCGCAGCCGCCCCCTCCTCAGGCAGGGCGCGTCGAGGCGCAGCTGCAGGGCGCAAGGAGACCCGCACCCCAGGAGACCCCCAAGCGAGGGGCCGCTCGCCGGCCCCCCGCCTCCCTGCTCCGCCGGCCCGCCCCTCACCTCCGGGCGGAGCGACCCGACTTCCCCAAGATGGTGCCGCGCCACCGACGGCGGAGCTGTACCTTCCCAAGATGGCGGCGGCGGTGCCTCCGTCTTCCGCGACCTCTCCAAGATGGTGTCCCTCAGCCGACGACCTCTTAAAGATGGCGGCGTTTGGCCCCGCCCCGCAAGCGGGGCAGGCTGGGAGCGGGGCCGCGCGCGGCGGGGAGCGGGGCCTGGTGCGGGGGATCGGTCGGGCCGGGTTGGCGGCGGAGCGGGGCCGGGCGGTCGCCATGCCGGAGCTGGCGGTGGACCGTGTGGTGGTGCACCCGCTGGTGCTGCTCAGCGTCGTCGATCACTTCAACAGGTGGGGCCGGGCGGGCGCGGCGGCGCCGCTGCGGCGCTGAGTCACGATCACGGGCCGGGCCGTGAGGGGAGCGGGGCCGTGAAGGAAGGGGCGCGCGGGGCCGTGAGGGGAGCGGCGCGTGGGGCCGTGAGGGGAGCGGCGCGCGGGGCCCCGGGGCGGGCAGATGGGGGTGGAAGGGACCCCGCGCCGTGAGGGGAGCGGCGCGGCCGGGCCCGGGCCGGTCGCTGGGTGCCGAGGGCCGCCATCCCGGGGTGGCGGCGGGAGCGCGGCCTGCGGGAGCCGCCGGAGCCCCTGCCCCGCCGCCGCCGTTGTTTTCCTCGTCAGGAGGAGCGTGGGGAGCGCTCGGGTGCCGTGAAAGGGGCTCGGAAACAGCGTCCTGCCCCTTAAAAACACGAGTGAGGGGAAGCGGGGCTGGCTCCTAAAGCCTCAGCTGGCTGAGCAGGGGGATAAGTCCCGTCCTTCTAAACACCTGGTGTAATTTGTGCCTAATTTAACTTAATTGCGCCGGTTGACAAGCCGTTTTCATGTTAAAAAAGGAATAAATCTTGACAAGGCGAACGAGCCTGCTGTTGTGAAAGCAAATGGTGGATGGCACCGAGCAGTTTGAAGAGCTTACTCACTTTTTTATGGCCCATTGTCCGGCGGGGAGGCCGCAGCGGTGCGTATTTTGGGTCACATCCCCCTCCTTAGCCGCATCGGACCACATTCTGCATCGCAGGGTTACCAGGTTTGGTCCTGAGGGCACCAGAATGCCTTTTTTCGAGTTGTAAATTAACAATCAGTAATAAAACGATCATAACACTTTTTCTTCTGTTCCAAAACACGTTGTGTTTAACTTGCAGAAATTAGCCCGAAACAGCTTGTCTGCTGTTACCTTCTTTCCCGAGTCAGGGTTTTTGTCGGCGGAACTGACAGTCTTTTCCATTTAGAATAGGAAAAGTTGGAAATCAGAAGCGAGTCGTCGGTGTGCTGCTGGGCTCGTGGCAGAAAAAAATACTAGATGTGTCCAACAGTTTTGCAGGTGAGTTTGGGTGTCCTGCCCTTGTTCAAACCTACTGAATTATTTAACAGATGAGTTGCGTTTGTTTGGGGGTTTTTTTAAGCCACCCTGCCAGACCACAGATTCTTCTCTCCACAAATCAGCCTATATCAAACAAAAAAAAAATGCTGAGTGCTGTCAAAAATAGACCTATTCCAGCCAGTCTTGTGCTGCACCTTCCCTGTTAAATTGTGCAATGTGGAATGTGTCAGGAGCCGGATGTAAACCTCTTCTAAAATGCTGGTGAATATTTTGCTGCATTGGACTCGCTGACCTCTGCTGAGGGATCAGTGTCTCAAGGTGTAATGCAGAAATCGCAGCTCCCGGTGCTGATGTAGCTAGTAGCTACTTGTGTAAAGATTTCATGACTATTTTAAGCTTCATTTCCTTTTCCTCAGATTTTTGTCCAATTTAATACTAGTCCTTTCCTTCAGGATGTTGTTAACAGTGTTGGAATAGTTTTCTCTTAAATACTTACATGTGATGGTAAAAGTGCTTCTTGAATGCGTGGCTTTTGCTGACCCGTTTGTGTTAGTTGGATCCTTTCCTTCCCAGTGGGGCTGCTCTGTGACAAAGCAAAATTAGCTCAGTTTATATATGGAGTTCTTCTCCCAAGTGTGGACTTTTTTTTTTTTTCCAACGTTTAGAGGAACTTTTTTCCATTTGAGTTGAAGAGAGTTGTTGGTTTTTTTTGTCTTTCAAATGTGAAGCTTTTACTGTACTTATAAATTAAAAGACTGAAACCAGGTTTTGTTCTCAGAACTGAGCCTGTATCCCTGTATACATGCTAACTGATAAAATTACAAGTTGTTTACTCAAGGGTAAATCGTCCTTACTTAAAAGTGCCTCATTGTCTTCTAGTAGTCTATAATAAAGTGCTGATGACGTGTGTTCTACGCTGAATGCTAATTTTGCTGAATGCTAATTTTTCTCTACGTAGACTGCTGTTGATCAACAAGCTGTAAAGTGTGCTGGGGTACTCAGTTTGTCACATCAAATGTCTCTGAACGCTGTTGAGTCACTTGTGTATGTGGGAGGATTTCTCTCCCCGTGCTTGATGTTGTCCACTGGGGGTAACCCTCAGAACTCAGAGCTTTGCATTTTATTTCTCATTCTAAACTGTTAATTTAGACACAGCCTGTGTCTGAGAGAACTGAGGGCACTGCAGGTGAGCTTGTGCAGTGCAGTGTTGTAGAACACTTGAAACTGATTAAAATCAGCCAAAGATATCCTAAACCACAGTGCTTCTATAAACATTTTCATTCCGGAAGTTGGATTCTTAAATATTGATCTTTTGTTTTATTCCCAGTACCTTTTGATGAGGACGACAAGGATGATACTGTGTGGTTTCTAGACCATGACTATCTGGAGAACATGTATGGAATGTTTAAGAAGGTCAACGGTAAGTTGAGGTCTTCTTGCAGTCAGGGATGTGTTCCTAGAGACTTTAAAGACTCTATATAGGGAAGTGAATTCATAGTAAGGTAGAGTTAATTGCTCACACAACAAGCCACTCTGTGCCAGTGCCTTGTGTGGCTTCACTTTCACTGATGGTTTTCCATGGGTTAACGTGTGCAAGTCATGCATGTTCTTAATTTATGCATTGCTAATTTTTCCAAGTGTCCTGGCAGTTCTGTGTCTTCAGAATAATTCAGATTTCAAAAATGCCATTATTTCTGAAGAATTTCAAGCTTTCTCGTCTATAACCCATTCTACGCAGATGTGCCCTGAAATTAGTTTTTTATGAATGTAAACATGACAAACTCACATTTTGGAAGTAATGACTCCAGTTGTTCTTCACTACTATTTTTTAGAAGTGTCTTTACTGCTCAGTGAAACTTCAGAGCTGAATGCTCAGTCAGAACTTCAGTTCCTATGACTTTTCTTAGCCCTGAAACCAATTGTCATTCTCACAATACAGTTTATATTTCTAAAATTTTTTCATCTCTAGATATCAGTTTCAAGCTGTCGCATCCTGATATCTGCAAAATTAATAAATGATACTAAGTAGTCCAATTTAGTTAAGAACCCAGGAGTGAAGTTATATGTGTGATTAGTAAGCTACAATAAGTTAATATAATTAGTAAACTGTCTTTGTCACTAGCCCTGTCACTGTTTTGCCTACTGTAATTAATTCCCCCCTACTTTATACTCATCTTCTATGCATCCGATTTTCACCCTTTATTTGCTAGTTCAGTCTCAGCCTAAATCTTTCTGCTGTTGTCTTACCACGTGATTCTGATTTCGAATCCTTTCTGGTTTTGCTCAGCTAGAGAAAGAATAGTCGGTTGGTACCACACGGGCCCGAAACTGCACAAGAATGACATTGCCATCAATGAACTGATGAAAAGATACTGTCCTAACTCAGTAAGTGCAGTGCTTTTTTTGTTTTGGGGTGGTTGTTTTTTTTTCCCTCTTCCTAAATAGGGGATCTGAGAGGACTCAGTCCCCACATTTGTTACTGGTCATACAGGGTGTTAAAGACTTGGTAGCCGTAAAGTGATTGAGGAACAGAGTCTTTTGAAACAGCTATAGATGTCTTTTCTCAGTGCCTGAAGTTAGCACCTCTGAGCAGCCAGCGTACCATTGCTGGGCAGCAAAGAGCTGACTTAGGGGTTTTTTCTAGTCTTTGAATGAAACCCAGTTTTCTGAAATGTTTGCTTCTTCCATAAGGTGCTGGTCATTATTGATGTGAAGCCAAAGGACCTGGGGCTGCCCACAGAAGCTTATATTTCGGTTGAAGAAGTTCACGATGTGAGTATTTATTGGTCTCTCTGCCTCCTTTGAGGAAAAGTGTTTCCACTAAAAGATGGCTGTTAGGATTGCCTTATTTTCTGAAGGATGTATGTCCCATGGCACGTAGCTGCCTTTTACATATGGGATGTTGCATTCACTAGTGAGGGCCTGTGACTTGTGACCAAAATCTGCTGGATCCAGAGTTTAAATCCCAGTCATAATATAAGCCTTTGTAACTAAAGCTTTCATCCACCGATGTGCTCGGAAGAAAAGCTGTGTGTTTTCTGTTTGACTTAAGGAATTCCACAGCCCCAGTTGTCCGATGTAAATGCTTCTGTCCCGTCCGTGGCCATGAGGAGAGTCACAGATTGGGAATGCTTTTAAGATGTCACTGTAACACGTCAGCCTGTTTGCAGAGGTGTTCTGAGTAATTGAGTGCTTACTCATTTGTGCACCTGCCAGTGCTGGGTAGGTAGGTTGGGCATGAGCAACACTTACTAATCACTTGCAGCACCACGCAGACAAACAACACACAGCAGTAAGTCAGCTTTAGCTTTTCATTTGCAATTATTTGATTTAAATTACATTCTGGATGGATATAAAAAAAATTGATCTTTTTGCCTTTATGAGGCTCTTAGTATGGAGAAGAGGCTGCTCCCAGTATTTATTCTAGATCTTGTATCTGTAGGATTTGTTCTTAGTTTTGTGAATTCACAGTAGTCCCAGTGGTGCTTTCTATTTACAGCTGTGTACTGGTTTAGGTAATGGTTTTGAAAACATGTGGGTAAAACTACCTCATTCTCAGAAATTCAGCCTCTGAATCTCTCAAGTATCTTCCTTAATCACCAGTGTCTAAATTGTAATTTTCATGTGATTGTTCCAGCCCCCCCCACATTAGGGTTTCATTTCTGGATCTGCATATATGCTTCTCACTGGCTGAGAGCAAATGTCAGGATGGCACAAGGTATCCCTAAGTGTAGTAAGATTGTATTGGGAAGAAAATAATTATGATACTTAGTGAGACTTTGTTATACCCACCAGTACATAGACCAGCAAAATAAATTAATTGAAAATTACACAGAGCAAAAGGAAGAAGAAATTGCTGTGGGCTGGTGAGAGTTGGTAACACTAATTAAACCAAGAAAAATCCAACTAAGTCTTTCCTCTCTGATTTCTTGTGGACTGTTTATAACTACTTCGCTTGTTTCATTAATACAGTTTCTCATATTCTTATCTCAAATTCTGTTTTTAAAAGGTGTTGCGATTCACTTGCAGTCTTCTGCCCTTAGCTGTGTACCTCAGTCCCCTGATACTCTGTTTTGCCATAATTTGCCCCATTGCCTCTTCCTGATCCTGTACACAAGAATAAGTTAATTAAATTAAAGTCACTGGCTGTGATATTGTGCGAGTTGCCCCACTGGTGGCTGTTGAGACAGCTGTTCTGGGTAGTTAGGATGCACCTTTGTGCCTGTGGTCACCTGTGTGCTCAGTCTGACCGTGTCTCCTCTGTCCCCACACCTGAAGGACGGCACTCCGACCTCCAAGACGTTTGAGCATGTCACCAGTGAGATCGGAGCAGAGGAGGCAGAGGAAGTTGGTGTTGAACACTTGCTACGGTAAGCGTCTGTAACGTGAAAGCCACCTTACAAGACCTGTATAGCAGTGAACATGATCCATCTGGCATCTCCCAGTGCCAGCTTCCCCGGGGGAAAGGCGGATCTTGTTAAACATGCTACTTAAATTCTAAAAGTGTACTCATTTAATGATCTTGCCTGGTGGCCCCCAGCCACCTTCTGGCTCACGGAGCAGGACGGCATGGGAGTGTGGCTGGTGGGGCTGTAGCTCTCCAGTCAGGAATCCTGTTGTTTATTTCTGTCTATCCCTCTAACTGGTGTTAGAAATATTATTCCAAAGAGAACATATACACACCACTGAATTCAACAATCATCTATTTTAGAGATACCTTGTAACTTACATCAGTTTGTTTGCATTCTTTTGACTTGAAGCCTCCATTTCAGTTGTACTTCAGCTGTGCTTTAAACTGCTTTTCTTTTTAAGCTGGAAAGATCTCTTAAGTGAACATGCCTGCCTATTAATGAGAATGCAAAGTAACATTCTAATGCTGATTCTTTCCGTTGTGGCTGTTTCAGAGACATCAAGGATACAACGGTGGGCACTCTGTCCCAGCGGATCACAAATCAGGTCCATGGCTTGAAGGGACTGAACTCCAAGCTTCTGGACATCAGGAGCTACCTAGAGAAAGTAGCCATGGGCAAACTCCCCATCAATCACCAGATCATCTACCATCTTCAAGATGTCTTCAACCTGCTACCAGATGTCAACCTGCAAGAGTTTGTCAAGGCCTTTTATCTGAAGACCAACGACCAGATGGTGGTAGTTTATCTGGCTTCTCTTATCCGTTCCGTGGTTGCCCTCCACAACCTCATTAACAACAAGATTGCCAACAGGGATGCAGAGAAGAAAGAAGGACAGGAAAAAGAAGAAAGTAAAAAGGAGAGAAAAGATGAGAAGGAGAAAGACAAGGAGAAGAGCGATGTCAAGAAAGAGGAGAAAAAGGAGAAAAAGTAAAATGTGTAGTTTTTTTATTTGTAAATTAAAAATCTTGTAAACTAAATCAGTTTGATTCCGGATTCATTTCTCTTGTTGAAATGGTCAGTCCTCTGCTTTCCTCTACTTTGGTATCTGCCTTTTGTGTTCATTAGAAGGTGGCTGGATAGATCGTCGCAGCAAGCAGACAGGTGCTGTAGGGCAGGCCTGGCACTTTGGGTCTCGGCATCGGGCAGGGCAGGGGTAAAAGCCAGGGGGAAATTTTTAATAATTCTTTGTTTTTTAAGTGCAGGACTCTCCCAGTGCTCCTTCAAGGACGTTTAGGCCAACAGGTGAGAATTTCTACCCCATACTGTGTTAGCCTTCTTGCTGGCTACTTGTCTTGCCCGACCCTGAGTTTTTACTGTGAGAGCTGGTTTCTTAGCATCACTTCTTTTTTTGAGCCGAGGAGGAGGTGCTGAGTTTTGGGAGCCCCAGGGATTGAATGGGAAGGAGGATGTTGGTACTGCTGGCTTTCTTCCAGCTGTACCTCCTACTGGGCTAGTTTGGGTTTTGCTTTCTTTTTCGCTATCTTTGCTAGCTGGCCAGGGGCAGGATCAGAGTTGGCTGTTTTGATACCTCATACTATGAAGAAAAAAAAAACAAAATAGTAGTAGATAAAAACTTTCCTGCTCTGCAGGAGTGGAAACATAGAGGGGAGAAATGGGATCCTGCTCCAGTGAGGTAGGAAGATGGTGTGTGGTGCTTCCACGCTGTGAAGAACATCTTCCTCCCATAGACATCAGGTCATTAGGCTTGCAGTGTGCTTATGTATTTGCATTTTTCAGGACTAATTGATTACAATTAGCCAATTTCATGCAACACAGACATCTGTATATTTGATCTGGTTCCTATTTGCACAGTCCCTGGACAGTGTAGTGCAGGTGGTCCATGGCTATGGCTTCCCCAGCTCTGTGCCAGTGACAGAACCAGCTTTGCTGCTTGCCAGGGGTGGCACAGAGCACTCTGCCAGGCCACGTCTTGCTCCTCAGGCTTTGTGGTTAAAATATCTGTGGTGGCACCGGAGCAGGCTGGCCTCTTGTGCTGGTGTGACACCAGGGAAGCACTGGAGAGCCTCCCTTGGACATTTTGGGGGCAGCCACACCTATAACCTGCCATCCTGTACCATGTCACTGTCCCACATCAGGACAACAGGGACAGGGAGTGCAGGTTTCTGCCATCCTGGGCCAAAGGGGCAGGATGGACATGTGCTGCAGCATCTCCTAGGAGGTGGGGCAGAGGAGGACAAGCCTCTCCCAGGGAGAAGATGCCACCTCCCAGGCCAAGGCGTGAGCAATACCCAGGGCTCTGGGTGGACAGGAGCGCTGTGTCAGCACACCCCTGCCAGGAGACTGCAAAGTGCCAGAGCCTGCTACAGATACTGAAGCATTTATTCTGGGATTGGGCTGGCACCGGCTGTGCCACGCTTGGCACAAGTACAGACTATTTAAAAAAAAAAAAAAAAAAAAACTTCAAGTCTGATCCCCTTTTCCATCTCTTTTCTGTCAAAAAGATGCAGCCCAACCCCAGCTTCCTGACCCCTGAGGGCAGTACATTTCATATTTCTTTGCAGTGCTGAAAAGACTTGAGTTGACACTAACAATCTGCACTGGATAATATCTGCCACAAAGTATGTTTCCAATTGCATTTGGATGTTCAGGTCCCATATAACTTTTGCCCGTAGAGTATCTCATCTCAGTTTTTCTCATATGTTTAGATCATGAGTATGATCTCTCTTTCTTTTGCACCTGTGTCTTCTACTAAATGAACTGGACCAATCCCATACTGAGATATCTAGGCATTATTTCGATATTACTACTATCAGTACAAGCTGGAAGAAATAATCCTATTTACTAAAATTATATAATTAAATCAGTTATTTACATTTCTAATAAGAATTGGCTGGAGTACAGATTATGACTTATTTTCTTAAATGCATGTTTGGCAACCACTGAAATTTCTCCTCAATATAAAACTAGAAAACTGAAGAAATACTTTCTTCCTGAAATTTGATAATATCATTTATCTAATTTTGCCCAGTTTCTATAATGGCAGAAACTGTCTCTAGCTTTAGAGGTTCTTTGGAGCTGTTTTTCACAGCTGCTGCTGTCTTGCACATTGGAAATGAACAGAATATTGAAAACAACAGTAAGGTCTAATTATGTTAACTCAAACATGAATGCCAATTGATTTTTAATATAGATCTGACAGGGACTCTATTGCAGCTCTCAGCTGCACTGCTTTGCTTCCATCGTATGATAAAAAAAGAGGCATATTGATGTTTTCTTTCACTGTCTCATTGTGTGTTTTCTAACAACTGATTAAGTAATTAACCTTTTCAAAACCCTCAGTCTTAACCTATCTGTATTCACATTGAATTTTGTGAATTAGGTCATCAAAGAGATTTGAAAAATCCCACTGAATTGGAATTTGCCTCTAAGTAATTAATAAAAAAAAAAAAAAAAAAACAAAAAACCCCACAACAAACAAAAACCCACACAAAGAACCAACCAGCCAAGGCAGCTGCTGAAAAGCAAAGTCATGGCAAAATTAGGGGATGGAGGCTGTCCCTGGGTGATATGAATAGTGGGTTTGTTCAGTTCTGCTTGTGTTGGATGTGGGTTTTTTTTACTAAACACTGCCAGCCTATGGCCATTGGCCTCATTCACCTGATTTTTGTTCCACCAATGCTGCTCTGGGTGGCACAGGGAGGCAGCTCCAGCCCTGGCACAGCATCCCGAAGACATTTTTAGCCCGGTGTGATTATAGGTTGGGCGAAGGCAGGCGGAGGAGCAGCTGCGCCCAGCCTGGGCACCACGCACATGGAAAAAAAAGACATATTATTTATGACGCCACTGATGAGTCCTGGGCCCCCATCACTGGCCTGTCCCTGCACTGCAGGGGGCTGTCTGTCCCCCCGCCCCGTGTGACACACGGACCAGGGACACACACCTCGGCAGCTGCGTACTGTTTATTGCACAAGAAGTCGGCGTCGCTGAGGCAGGATGGTGCAGTACAAAACTATCCGGTTACCAGTCAAAAGCTATTGCAATGTCTTGTATCCACAGACTTCCTTTATGTACAGCTATGTACAGCAACGCTCACGCGGGGCCCTCTCCCCGGTGCACGCTGTCGGGGGGGACGGGACACACAGCAGTGGAGGTGACATCCAGGCGAGGGGGAGAGGCCAAATCCTGCCCTCACCCGCAGCTCCTGCCACCAGCCCGGCCAGTGACAGAGGGAACACAAGGAGTTTGGACCAAACCCATCACGAACCAAGCAAAGCCACGTGTGGACTGGAGCCCCCGAGGCTGCTGCGGAGCACCAGCTCCGAGCAATGCTCCACTTAAATATTAAATACAACGGCACAGGGGCCACACGCTTGCAAATCAAAACACACAGCAGAGGTGGTTGGCCAGGCCCTGGGTCTGAGCAGACACGGGTCTGGCGTGGGAAAGGGCCATCCCAGTCCTCCATGTGGTGCATCAGCCCCAACAGCATGGACTAAGGGGTTCCCTGGTACCTTTGCTGGGTGCAGGATCGGACCCAAATGTGACCTGAGAGTCGGTTCAAGAGCCATTTCATTTCCCCTCCTCACCTGCATCTATTAAAATGCCATGAAAAGGCAGAAAACGCTACGGGGGAAAAAAAACAGCCTGTGCCCAAAACAGATTCTCATTGAGCTGTGCCTGCCAGGGGGGACTGGGGTGCACCACACGCTGCTGCCAAGGCCCAGGGTGTCACCCATCCCCTCTGTGCCTCAGGAGCTGAGCGGAGCCAGATTTTTACATCCACCTCCTCAATTGGTTTGGGGAGGGAAAGGTGGACCCCGTTTCCCCCCCAGGGGCTGCGTTAGTGCCGATCTCGCACAGGAACAAGAGCAACAGCGTCTGCAGCTGCCTGTGCCCCATCCTGCGGAGAGGGCTGGGCGCTGGGCTGCGCCGGCACCGGCGGGCAGGACCTCCCGTCGGGCAGCGCTCCAGGGCCTGCCCCGCACCCGGGAAAAGCACCAAAGCTCCATCACTCCTGTCCAAATCCTTCCGTCTCCTCAATGGCATAAAGCAGCTTCTCCTTCAGCTGTTCGTAGCTCTTGTAGGGAGGGAGATCCAGGCGGTTAAAGCTGGGGAGACAGCAGAGGCTGTGAACAACACAGCAATCCCCCTTCTCCTCCCCACCACAGGGTCCCCTCCGGCCTCAGCCCCACACACCAGCTGTGGTGAGATGCACAGCCAGGAACAGCAGAGCAGCTACGTCCCACAGGAACGTGGGTGGAGGGGCTGGAGGGCGCCCAGGGCCCCATACAGCCCTGCAGAGGCTGCCAGTGGTTGTCCCCGTGTGCTCCTAACGGGGCCGAGGAGAAATGACTTACCATGTATGGCTCCGAGGCAGCCACGTCTCTTTGCCAACTTTATCGATGCAGAATTTCTGGGGCCCGTTGCTGCCTGTTAATGATGAGCACAGCAAATCTCATTACATGACCAGGAGCTGAGAAAGAAAACCCTCCAACACACCACCTCGTGTGTTGGAGCCTCGCGGCACCACCTCATTTCAGCCAGCAGATCCCACCATCACCCAGCCCTCATGATCCTGGAGACACATCGGAGGCATAAATCCACAGCAGCACTCGCTGCCCGTTCTCACCCCTTTGCAGACAGGATGTACAAAAAGCAAGAAAGGAGAAAACTGAAAAGCACATTCACAAGCAGAGAGAGTTAACAGCACGGCTTCTAAGCAGGATGGTTAAATACTAAGTGCTAAAACATATTTATCTGTAGACCCGCAGGACCGAGCTGGTCCATTTGAGAGTTTTAAAGGGCCTGGTTCAGGAAGTCTGAGTCACTGAGGTCACTTTTTAACAGATTGTGAATGCTGGAGAGGTTCCAGGGGGCTGGAAAAAAAAGCTAATATGCCAGCAAGAATAAATAAGTGGTCTAAGTTAGCTGGTTAGCTTGACACCGATTCCAGGAAAGTAAGGGAAAGGCTGCTACGGGCCCCAAAAAGTAGCAAATTAAAGGATGAGAGCAGAATAATGCCACGCTGTGGTTTTCTGGAAAAGGGGTTTCATCGCACAAAAATCAAAATTAAATGTAAAAGATCAAGTCTCATTCAAAATGATTCAAAAATGAGATTAGAAGCTGGACTGACAAAGTTAACTGTGGCGGCACAGTTCAGGGCTAAGGAATTTCTCTGGGTACAGCACGTCACCAGATTAATCACCGCGCTCAGACACAGAAGATCCTTCACCACTTACGTGCTGTGGGCTGCCTCGCACTCTGTGACAGACACACGGACAGCCAGGTCCCACCCACTGGCTGCCAGACTCAGCTACTGCCCCCACTCGCTCCCCTGGGACCCCCTCCCTGAGCTGAGCACCCCGGAACACGCACCGATGAGCTCTGCGAAGCCCCCGACCGGCAGGCGGCAGGTCCCCGTCACAAACTGCAACAGCCGGATCCTCTTCTCGTTGTCCATCTCTTTAACCACCTACGACGAGAATGCGGGAGGAGAATGGGGTCCCCCATCACCCCCAAACCTGCAGCTCGGCTGGGTCTGGGGCACCATCCTACAGCACAGCTCCTGCTGTGAAAACACCGTGCCCACTGGACGGCCGGGCTCTGACACAACCAGGGCAGTGCAGCACACTGGGTATGTGGTCCAGCCCCACATCCTGGGGGACAAGGAGCAGCCTTGACCCCCTCCAGAGCCATTTTTTGACCCCCTTCTCTCCCGGGCAGCACAGAGCAGCACAGCCTGAACTGGCACAGCTCTGTTTCGTGTCACCCCCTCCCACCAACAGGCCCGAGAGCAGCAGCTATTGCTAGAAGCACGCTGACCACTAAGTGCTGCCTGCTGTCCTCGGCGGTGGCGCTGGGGACTCTGCCAGCCACAGCCAAATGCTTCTTGCTGAACACATGCTCACAGTTGTATTTTGTTCTTTCTCACAGCCTGGTGAGGCTGCCTGTCCCAGGCCTTGGGCAGGGGACAATCCCAGGGCTGGGGAGCAGGACAGAGGCTGGGACTGACCTGCCAGAACCACTGGATCTGTTTGCTGTTCTTGGTGTAGTGCCGGTAGATGGTGTTCTTCTGCCAGTCGTTCATGTCGATCTCCTGCATCCCGCACAGCATCAGCTGGGGACAGGGGACAGTCAGCAGGGGGACAGAAAGAGGGCCCTGCACCCGCGCTTCGGAGCACTGACTCCCCCAGTGCTGGGCTGCACAAGGCACAGGCTCCAGCATTGGGAAATGGAGGTGTCTGGGAGGAATTCCTTGCCTCCAACAAGACACTTTCTTGCTAGCGGGGCCACCCCACAGACCCAACCTCCTGGGGCCAGGGTACCCCCATCAGCAGAGCTGGGGGGCAGAGGGTGCGAGCGGAGCCTGTGCGCTCTGCCGTCACCACGTGCCATTCCCGGGACAGCCTGCGGCAGGTTGGGAAGCACCAGTATCTCCACGTCTCCATCCCAGCGCAGGCACCAGCTCACCTCCAGCTCCTTCTCGTCAAAATACCGCAGCCACTCCAGCGGCACCACCTCGTTGAAGCCATCCAGGAAAGCCTTGGTCTGTTCCTCCACACCCCGTGTGAACCTCCAGTCTGTCAGCAGCCTGGGAAGGCAGACAGCAGTCGGCAGGCAGCCAGCACCGCTGGCCCGGCACAGGGAACCCCAGCCATCCCTCCCACCAGCGGGGAGGGCCCTGGGAGCCAAAGGGGTGTGTGGGGAGGGGGAGAGGGGCTCCTGTGTATCACCAGGGCTCCCCTCAGTTCCCACTAGAGGGTTTCTCTTTCCACCTCTGAACAAGCAGACAGCCCTGAGCACAGACCAACAGCTGTGGGGAAACGAGGGGTGCAAACCACGTCCCCTGGCTGGAGCCTACGGTCAGCAGCAGGAGTTGGCCCTGGCAGCCCCCAGCCACGGACAGGCAGGGTGAGCAGCCACAGGACAGGGTTTTCTCCTGTCTCACCCTCTCTCCCCTCTCCTCTTTCCTGAAAGTACTGGCAACTGCCCAGGCAGCAGCAAGCCAGACCGCAGCAGAGCTCGGCCGCCCGCGCCAGCCCATACTTGTCACAGGCCACGTAGCCCAGGGAAGCGGCCACGTCCCAAGCCCCATGTTCCCACCCAGAACTGCCCCGCAGCCAGCGGGGGTAGGCGCCCGGCCCCTGCCTTGGGACGCCCACTCACATGATATACTCCTCCTTGTTTTCCTCTGTCACTCGGATGCTCTCACCGCCCTCCTTCAGCTCGTGGGTGGTCACCTTGCCCAGGATCTCCATGTCCTGGATGAAATATAGCTCCAGGCCACACTCCTCCAGGCTGTTCTCCCTGCAGGAAGACACCGGGATGTGATTTCTGATGGAGGCACCCGGCAGCAGCGAGGGACTGTGGGGAGGAGCACTGCCTCCCTGATGGCAGGACGGGCCCCAGGCTGGGAGGGAGAGCGGGGCACTCACTTGGTCCAGACGATGGAGTTGTAAAACTCGGGGTCGATGGATTCCAGGTCCTTCAGCGTGGGCCGCTTGTTCAGCATCCGCTTGTAGAAGGGCAGCGTGAAGCCGGTATCGATGAACTTCCCATGATACAGAGCCTGTGGTGGGGAGGTGATGCCAGGTCACAGGGGACCCCAGGACAGACCCGTGGGGCGAGACAATGCTCCACCAGCGGGGCAGCCACAAGGCAAAAGGGAATCACCCCTGGGATCCCAGGGCTGCAGCGCTCACTCCTGGCTGGCAAATGCCATGGGGAAGGAGCTGGCTCCCCCCAACAGCGCTGCCCGGGGGTGGCTCACTCAGTGTGGAGTGTGTTCACAGCCCCTCTCCCCTCCCCACCACAAATTCCACCCCGTCTCCTTCTCCCCTCACAGCTCTATTAAGAGCACTTGTTTAAACAGAGCTGTGCTGCGGCTTCCCTGAATCCCTGGCTTCCAGGAGCCCCAAGGCAAAGGCAGCCAAAAATAATGCAGACGCTTGTCTAGAACGGCCCAGCGGTGAGTAATAGTCTGGGGTTTTATTGGTATCCTGCAAGGCGCAGGGCAAGGCAGGACAGAGTGAGGACCTGAGCAGCGTGCAGCCACCTCCCATGCACACCTCGTAGGGCCAAGGGCCAGGGCCCCTTCCCTGAGCTCAGGGAGCCCCTGCCAGCCCCGGGCCAGGCAACCCATGGCAAATTTGCCTTGGGGAATGCGAGACAAACAGGAGGAGCCGCTCTGAGGCTCGGACAGCTGGAAAATCTCACACTGCTGGGGCTAAAAATAGTCCCCGGAGCTGCAGACCCAACAGCACCTGGGGTGGAAGCCAAAGACCTGGAGCCCACCACACAGCCCCGAGAAACCAGGTCCCCTCTGGCCCCAGGGCCGTTCGCTGGATTTAAAAGGCATCACCCCACAGTCTTCCCTGCAGCACCCCCTCAATGGCCTGTCTCCCACGGACCCACACCTGAGTGGGAAGGAGCTTAAGGGGGGTGGCAGTGCTGAGGCAGAGCCAAAAAGCCCACAGCACCTTGGGGCTGAGGCTGAGGTCCCCGCCACCACGGGTGGCCCAGACGAGAAAGGTGTGAAGGGGGAGAAACGTTGGTGCGGTGCTGTGCTCCCCTTGGCATGCCTTGGGCTGACAAAGGCCACCAAGCCTACAGCTCCAGGGATACTGGAGGCATGGCAAGGAGAGCACCTCATCTAGGACACCCATGGTGCTGGGGCCCTCAGCCTCAGCCCCACGCTGCCATCAGGGTTAGGGTTCAGAGGGCCACAGAGCCTAGCACAGCCATGGACGCAGAGCTTCCCCTCACCCCGCCGACCATCCCAATCCCCTGCAAGGCCCCTTCTCCATGGGGGGGACACAAACGAAGCATCTTGCCTCCCATCGCCTCCTCGACCCCTCTTGCCCCATCACCCCAAGCTCTTACCATGGCGATGAAGCGGCCGATGAAGCGGAAGTAGGTGAGGTGGTCGGGGTTGATGGAGGAGGCCGGGTTGATCTGCAGGCAGTAGTTGTTCTTGCCAGCGTATTCGAAGAGGCAATACATGGGGTTGAGCACCTCGTGGGACAGGAGGAAGAACCATTCCCTGGGGCAAGAGGAATGGGGAGCACGGTGATGAGCAGCTCGAGGAGCTGGGGGCACCCAGAGGCTGCGCAGGGAGGCTGCACCCCGGCGGAAGGGACAGCCATGTGCCACCATAGCACACCCCACACACACCAGGTGCCCATCTCCTCGGGGTGCCAGTGCAAGCCTTGGGGCCTGGTGTGCCTTGGTGAGGGTGTCCTCTGCCCCAGGGATGCTGTGCGTGGTTTGTGAAGGGCTTCTGGAGACACCAGCAAGAAACACCCCAGTTTGCTGGAGGCTCTGATCAGAGAACCAGGGATCCCAGCAGGCACCACGTGGCTCAGTCCCACCCAGGCTGTTGTACATGTATACACACACACACTACTGTGCACACACACCCTGAGCCTCCCCACACGTGCTCCCCCCAGGAGCCCCACGCCGAGCTCAAAGCAGTGCAAGACGGGTACCGTCCTGGCTTTGCTCCCCGCGCTGCGCAGGGAGACGGGAGTCCTCAGACGCAGAGGCAGCCCCGGCATCCCGTCCGTGGTTCTACCCTGTGGTAGAACAGCATGACGTAACCTACCATAGGGTAAAACCACTGGCAGGACACAGAGAGAGGCGGAGAGCGGGAGCCCCTGCACCAGAGCCGGGGGCAGCGGCACCACGAAGGAGGAGCAGGCGAGAGCGGGAGGCAGGGGGAAGCATTAGCCCAGCACCAAGGCAAACGCTCCGAGCAAGGTGGCTGGGGCTTACAGGGACATGGAGGCCCCCCTCCAGCTGAGACACAGCCCACACTGTGTGGTTACACCATCCCCGGGTGCATCTGCATCCTTGTAGCAACCATATCCCACTATGTTTGCCCCAGCACGCACCAAATGTCCCGGGGAACACCAGGGCCTGTCAGCTGGGGGGAGAAGAGGCTGCTTGACCCATCACCACCACGTCTCAGGGGCCGCAGGCACCGGCACTCAGCACCCATCAGCTGCAGGAGAGCCCCAGCCAGGTCCCCCAGCCCTCTCTGTGCCGGGGACAGGCTGCTGCGATGCTTTTAGTGTGTTCCACCATTCCCAAAACCCACACCATGTCCCATTCAAACACCCTTGGGCTCCTCTGCCCAAGCAGGTGCTGCAGAAAGGTGAGGCACCCCAAGTGCAGTGGCCGGACAGACTCCCCTGCTGGCACTGTCCCTTAGGGATTCACGCCGCAGGCATGGCACAGACCTGTCCAGGAGTGTGGCTTGGCACACTGGCACTCACCTGGCGATGCCACCATAGTCCAGGCCCTCCTCTCCTCGCATGATGATGTACAGGCGGCGCCGCAGGTCATACGGCTTCATGTTCATGATCTGGGGAGAAGGGGAAGCATTACCGCGGGCTGGTGCGAGGGCTGGCTCCGCACCCCCCCAGGCTCTGGGGCCTCAGCACCTCCTCACCTGCTGGAAGGAGTCCTCAAAGAGCGTCTGTCGGGAAACACTGATCTTCACGTGGCTGGGCAACGCGTTCGACTACGAGCAAGGCAGAGAGACGCAAGGCTTTGTGCAGGCTGGCACAGAGGATGTCCTCACCCACACCTGCCCACAAGCTCAGGCTGTCCACACACCCATCCAGCCCTGAAGCTCAGCAGCCCCCGAGCTGCTGGGCCCCTCTGGCCGCTCTACTTACATGGCAGAGGAAGCGGAACTGGTGGTACTTCCATCGAAAGCTCCGATCATACGCCCCTGGGGAACCACCCTGCTTGCTCCTGCAAAAGCAACATGAGCCTTAGTTCAGCATCCTCAACCTGCCCTGGAGCGAGCTGCCCAGCCCCAGCAGCCTCATCACCCACCAGGTTGGAGGAAGGTTGCTGGGGCACAGCTCACCTCCACCACAACCAAATGTGAGGCCCTAAACCCACTATTCAGTGTCTTTGCAATAAAGCTGACCCACTTCCCCCACTCAGTGTCACAACCACAGGAAGGCAGCTCGAGCCCCAGCTCCCAGTGTGCAGCCCGGCTGCAGAGTGAGAAACCCAGCCCAAAAATGCTTACCCAGACTCAAATCCAGGGCGTGGGTCCTTGAAGGTGGTGGTGCGAGTGTTGTGGTCCACAAAGTAGCGCACACCCTCATTCGTGTACTTCATCTCCCAGCCGGGTGGCAACGGTGGCTCCTGGATCATCCTGCCAACAAGAAAGGGGTCAACGGGCAGGCACCTCAGCTGTCTCTCACCCTGAACTGCACCCTCCAAATTGCTGCCCTTGGGAATCACCTTCAATTTGCAGCTCTGAGCCAGGCAAAAGGCAGGATTCATGGTACGGGATTAGTGAGCACCTGCCTGAAACCCAAAACAGAAGCCCCACCTGGGCTGTGCTCTCGGCCACAGCCAGGACTGGCCACAGTTACAGCTTTGCTCTCTGTCTGTGGTAGAGGTGGCCTCAGTGGAGACCTGGGCCAGGTCCTCAGCCAGGGCAGGTCTCTGGAGAACCGCAACCCAGCGCTCTCAGGAGTCCAAGCAGAGCCGTGTAGAAGGCAACAGGGCAAGAAGTACCCCTTTCTGTCCAGAAAGCTCTGCAGTCTTCCCCATCACTTCCTCATCTCTACCCTCAGCTCCTGCAAGCCAAGGGTTCAGTGCCCAACCCTCCTGGGCTCCAGCACTGCTTGCTCGCTGCCTGCAGTTCTCAGTGCTTTTGGCTTCCCAGTGCTGCGGCTCGCTCGGTCCCCCAGCATGGACACCACTCAGGAGCCCATCGCGTGGACCTTCTGAAACCACAAGCATCTTCCCTGCCTCTCCCCACAGGCTGCCTACCCCTGTGTGCGGGGGTCTTCCCACTGGGTGGTCCGTGTGTTGTGGTTCACGTAATACACTCGCCCATTGTCCTGTCTCTTCTCTAAGAGGAAAAGGAGAGGAAGCGTTAGTTGGAGGACCCTGATCCACAGTCCCAGGAACAGCCCTCCCTTTTCCCACATCACAAGAAGTGTGTTGGCTCCCCCCGTCCCACCTCCCTGCTGACAACTGCCCCAGCTCATTTAGAAAAGGCAGGATAAAAAGCCCTATATTTCTTCTAGGTACACAAGCTGCTGCACCTCCAGGCTGGCTTTCTCCAGTGCCCTCAAGGCCAGCGTGCGTGGAGATGCCATGGCAGAGGTGAGCCCTGCCAATATGCTGCCAGGCTGGCACAAGAGGTGTGCTTGGCCATGCATCTCACTGGGCAGGTAGCACATGTGCTCTCCTTGGACACACAGCACTCCACAAGCACGGCAGCCCTTCAGGAGGATCTGCAGGTGCTTTCTCAAACGCATCCAGACTCCCTGCACGGCCCTGCTGCCAGGGCACAGCTTGTGCTCCTGGCATGGGCTGCACGGGCACACACACCCGCACCTCCTTCTGCTGTGCACAGGCGTAAAACAACCATGCCACTCACACCAGCACCGCTGCCTGACCCCCCTGTGCCTGCAGCCTCACACACTTGTTGCACAGCAGCCTCCCAGCACATACCCCCCTACGTGTGCCACACACACTTCCCCAGCCACCCCCTTTCCAACACACACTCACGACACTATTTGAACACTCACGACACTATTTGAACACTCAGAACAGCAAGTGCCTCCCAGCTATGGCTGGGCACCATGTGTGATCCTCCACCCTGCTCCAACCCCCCCGACCAGCCCCCAGGTGCCTGCACCCACCCCACGCACCCCGTCTCGTCCTGCCTGCCCGCCTGCCGATGCCGCTCTGCCTCTCGCCAGCCGCCCCCCTGCACACACCCACGCACACTCGTTGCCTCCCCACCAACACGTGTGCCCCACACGCAACACACCTCCTCCCTCCACGTGCCTGCGTCACTCCCCGCACGCACGGCCCTGCTCCATGCCGGCAGGGACGCCCTGCACGCACGCTCCCCTGTCACCTCCCAGCCACCACAGCCCCCCTCATGCTGTCTCACTCCCGGGCTGGGGGAAATAGCCCCCAACGCCGTGGCTCCAGCAGACCCCACATCTGATGACTAGGACCCACATCCATCCCAGGGACCCCAGCTATCCTGGGGATCCCCATCCCAGGGTGCTCATCCCTGTGCAGAGCTGTCTCCCCCCCAGTCTGCCCAGCTAACACTGGGGACCCTCTCCTCACTGATGCAGGAGATGGAGCACCCAGCGTGGCAGCAAAGCCTTCAGCACTGTCCCCATCGAGACTGTGCCCTTGGAGCTCCCCCCCGGCAACAGCCTGGGACCCCTCTGTCCTGCTCCAAGCTCCCCAGTTTTAACCCCTCTCTTGCCCTCCGTGCCTTCCCAGCACAGCGCTGCCCGTCTGCTCCCCAGCTGCACCCACAAGCATCCCAGCCTGCCCTCTCCAGGGATGCTCTCACTGTGGAAGGTGGCCTCTCTGCCCTGGGAACAATACAGGGACCTTTCCAAATGTCCCAATACATGACACTTGGGCCATGGGAGCAGACAGCCCCATTCCTACCGGCTCCCAGCCCCGCTGCAGACCAGGACAGAGCATCCCGGGAGGCACACACAGCGGCGGGACGGATCCCTGCTCAGCAGAGGAGGGGTCTGGGGATGAGCGAGGAGTTGGATCCCCAACCTTTCCCCCTGTCCAAAGAACAACCACAAGCACTTCTGCATTCAGTAGCTGAGAGAGACTGGGAACTCCTCCAGGAAAAGAAGAAAAAAGGAAAAAAAGCTGGATTTCAAATCAGAAACCATGCTAATCACAGGCAGGCTCAGCCCCACATGCAGAGGAGCACAGGGAACACTGGCTCTCCAGCCACCGTTCCCATTAATGCCAGGGACGGGAGCGAAGAAGCTGCTGATAGCACCGTCCTCCCTGCGAGGCAGGCAGGGTCCTGCTCTGGGTGATCGAGGAGCGTCCTGGCAGACTGTCCAGCGAGCGTGGTGGCAAGCAGGTGAGGTGGCTCAGTACTTACCCCAGCCTGGAGGAAGGGGACCGAGAGGATCATTGTCGGACGGGGCGCCGGACGACTAGAGACAACAGAGAGGGCAAAAAGAAAACACGAAATAAAAACCAGGGCAGGGACGCCTGGGAAGAGCGGAGTGCGGAGGTGAGCTCTGCAGCCTCCACTCCCACTCTCCTGCCCTTGGCCCGCAGCTCCCTGAGAACGGGAAAAAAAAAAAAAACCAACCCAAAAAAAAACAACTTGCACACTCGAGGGGGATTTAAAAAAAAAAAAAAAAAAAAAAAAGAAAGGAAAACAAAAAAAAAAGCACAAACTAAAGAGAGGCTGGGGCAGCCAAGGGGGTGGCGGGGCACCGCACGGAGGGGAGCGGGATGGACGGCCCCGGCGGGGTCCAGATGTGCGCGGCTGCTCCTCGGGCTGCCGCCGGCCGTCCCCCCCGCCAGATACACCTCCAGCCTCCTCCTCCTCCTCCAAGAACCACACACAAGAAGGGGGGAAAAAATATCGCAGGCCTTTCCAATGAAATCATTCCCACAAGCCCTGTCCACGCCCAGCGCTTCCTGGCGGGCCGGCGGCCCCCTCCTCCCCGCGCCCGGCCGCGGGATGCGCTCGCACTGAGCCCGCATTCATCCCGCGCAGACGGGCGGCTCCGCGCCCCCGCCGGCCCCCGTCCCCCCTCCCGGCAGGTCGGGGGCAGCCTTACAAAGCACCTTTCTTCTTCCCCCGGGGGCGGGCAGAACCGGGCGCCGTCACCCAGCCTGAACCGGGGGATGCCCCGGGATTGGGGGGGGGCAGACTGGTGTGGAGCCCCCACTGCGCCTGAGCCCCCACACACACACCTTGAGGACCCTGGGGATGGAGGTGCAGCCCCAACAGTCAGGGGTTCAGGGGAGATGGAGGCCTGCGAGTACTTTTAATGGTTAAATAAGAAAATCATCGTTACCAAAAAGGCATTTTCATTGCACCTCCTGACACCCAGCTGCTGGAGAGGGGACAATGACCCAGTCCAGGGGGTGTCCCAGCACAGAGAGTGTCCCAACCCTCCACGCTGGGCTGGGGATTGGAGTCACGCTGGGCTCAGGGAATGGCACCCATCCCTCCCACCCGGGGACGAGAGGCAGACCCAGGCTTGGGCAGAACTGCTATTTGAGCTGCCGGGGCCCCCCACTCTGAGACACTCTGGGCACCCCATGGCAGCTCAGCACCCCAGGGATGTCCTGGGGCACCTCAGGGAAGGGGCTAGCACAGCCTGTGCCTCTCTGAGCTTCGTCACTTGTACCCAACCCCGTGTGCCGGACTGGGAGCGGGAGTCACTGCCCAGCACAGCGTGTGTCGCGCTTGGGGCAGTCTCTCAGACAGGCTGGCCAGAGACACAGCCCAGTCACGTCCAGAGGTATCACCTCACTGACCTAAAAATAACTAATTAAAACAAACAGGGCAGGGAGAAAAGAGCCTGGGGCAGAGTCCCAAGGAACAAGCCCTCCCGGAGCCCCTGAGAACAACCCGGTCCCTTGTGCCAGAAAGACCCTCAAATCATCACCCTCAGCCCTCAAGGGATGCTGTGTGCGGGCAGAGCCCAGGGAGCCCGCTCTGCTGGCAGAGTGGTCCCCTGGCTGCACCCCGGCCCCCCAGGCTGTGACTCTGCACGGCCCAGGGCTACAGCACTGCTCATCATCTCCCCACCTTCCTCTCCCAGCAAGGAGGGCAGGTGGATGCTGGAGACGGGAGGGTGAAGCAAAGCAGAAAGCCCCTGCAGGGAAGGAGGCAGAGTAGGAGCCATCGCCGCTGGCAGCGGAGAGCTTGAGACAAATAGTACAATCGTTTCATCAGGCTAAATTTGGAGCTCGAGTCCCTCCCTCTGTGCTCCGCGGAGCCCGGCCAGGGCGAGTCCCACAGAGCTGGAGCAGCTCCAAGGCTGGCGCTGGCAGAGACACGAGTGAACGACAGGCCTGGAGCCCCGTTCAGCCCCCGGTAGAAGCCCCCTCCCGCACACCCCTCGGCAGCAGAGCCATGAACGGCATGCTGAGGAGCACAGGCGGGTGGAGGGCAGCAGAACCGTGATGGTCCAGCTCCTGCTGCGAGGCTTGGAAGGGCTGGAGAGCTGTCTGGGGAGAGATGGGCAGGGGGAGAAAAAGAAAAGAGCAGCTTCCCCCCCTGGGGAGCAGCCCTGGTTGTATCTCAGGCAGAGCAGCACTGGAGGACACACTCTGCCCCCCTCTCCCAGAGAGCACCTGAGCTCCTCGCTGGAGCGTAGAGCTCACACCGGTGCTAGCAGTGCTGCTGGGACACATCAGCCTCCTGGCCTTCTCAGAAAGGAGATAAACGTCGATGGGAAGTTGGTCACCCCGCTCTCCCCACCTTTACTCCACACCTGCCCCACCAGGCCTTCCCTGCCTCCTGGCAAGAGCTGGGTTTTCCAAGGTGGCACAGCCTTGGCAAGGCACGTGGCCAACTGATGGCAGAGAGCACCAGGACACGGCTGCTCCGAGAGGTGGAAACACTCCAGCCTGGTTCCTTCCCAAGCACTGCTCACCCTGCAGCACAACGGCCACCAGCACGGCCCTGGTTATCAGAGGGTGCTCACCACCGCTGGAAGCCAGGTCCCAGCTCCAGCAGCAAAGGCAACACCAGGACAAGAGTGGTCTCTGCCCAGGAGCTGTCGCTCTGTGGGGCTGTTGAGAGATCACTCTCTGAGCAAGGAAATGGAGCTACTCAGCCCAAACGAGGAATGAAGGGAAGCTGCAGAGGAAGCTCACCATGCCCAGCAGCACTCATTCCCTGTGCTCTGGTCCCCTGGCTATTGCAGCCCTCATTGTGACAGCACTTGTACCCTGGGCCTTCAGCTACTGCTGTTGACTCCTGCTCCCACCCAGAATCCAACCCCCTGTCCTCATGCCAACTGAGACATGGGGAGGGATGAAGTCAGCCCCAAGAGCCTCCTCTTCTGCTACAGACCAGGCTCCCATGGCTTCCTCAGTGTGTGACTGACTCCAACAACATGCAGCAAGTCCTGCAAGCCTTGCAGGTCAGCAGCAAGGCTTGGCTGATGGAAGCCAAGGGAGAAAGTGTGTGCCTAGCCACGCTGGCACTGAAGGGACACCAGGGACAGGCTGCTGAGAACACCTCCCACCACCTTTCAGGGCTGTGCAAGCTGTTTTATAAAAAGAAAGTTACTGCCACGGGGTTCTCTGCACACAGCAGAGGAGACCGTGGGCTCTCCTGTCCGAGCACTGCTCTGCTGAGCTGACAGACCCCACACAGTCCAGAGAGCACCTCCCCACGCTCAAGGGTCTCCCAAGTCAGCCCAGGTGAGATTGGTGGGAGAGCAGGGTGAGACCCTCACCACTGCAGCCTCCAGTTCTCACCTGGTACAGGAATCTTTGGCTGAACTGCTGCATGGCTCCTTGGAGCTGGTTTCTCTGGGACTGCCACTGCTCATAGTTCCTGACGTACTCAGCCGTGGGGCGCTGCCACGTGGTGGTCCGGGTGTTGTGGTCCACGTAGTAATACCTGCCTCGAGGATCCACACGTTTCTCCCACCTGGAAACACCAGAGGAAGATGTCACTGTCCTCTGGAGACACAGAAAGGCACAGACCACGGTCCTACAGCAACGAACTTCCCATTGCCCTCATCTGAGGGCTCTGCAGCAGTGGCTTGAGAATATCCAGCTGCTGCCCCAGAACCTGTTGAAAGCACAATTAAGAAGAGCGCTGGATTGTGAGCCCCTTCCCCAGCTGCTATAGTCCCCTAGAGCTCCCCATGCAGCAGCTCAGCAGAGGATTTGTGGTTGAGTGCTGCCTCTCAGAAATGCAGGTGAGAAAAAGCAGCTTGGAGTCTTCCAACAGAGGAAGAACTGAGAGCAGCTGGGGCCCAAGGGTCCCAAGACTAAGATACCCTTTAACACAAGGGCTCTGTTCCCAGCTCCAGCATAACCACCAGCTTCACAGCTGAAGGGGCTCTTTTGGACAGAGATCCACCAGAAGGAAATACAAAAGACTAGCCAGATTTGAAGCACCTCCCCTGCAAGGGCACATGAAGCCTAGGTGGGATGCCTAGACACTGGCAGAGTTTGCACCAGGATGCCGTAAGCATTTCTCCAAGACAGCTGACCTCTGACAGAGGCAAGGCACTGGGTTGGAGACCTGAGCAGGAGGGAAGGAGCACACCTGGGGTACTCCCAAAGCTACCTTTCCAGGGAACAGCCTCCCTCTTTTAACTCCAGGCAGATTTCAAGCTGTTGTAGGATCAGAAAGTGGCTCCAGAGATTACAACTTAACTGAAGGGAACGTGTGCCCGCAGGAACCTGGAGGCTCCCGTGGAGGAAAACAGGGCAGGCTTGTATTTCACTTTCACATATTACACTGGCAGTTAAAGCACACTTCAGTCATTCCAGCCCTGAACAAACTCAGTCTAGAGAACAACAACAGGCTGTTTCGAGTTCTCTGCTTTAGGAGCACAAAGAGGTGAGAATTCAACGAGCTTCTGGAAAGCACGTGACTCCCAGGGCTGTATGCAGCCTTTATGACCTGAAAACTTTACTTCCACAAGTGAAAGCACGGCCTTCCTGGACATAAACTTGGCAGAATACTTCCTGCAGGTCTCATGGAGCTGAGCAGCAGCATCTTCTCAAGCACAAGCGTGGCTGAGAACATAAGACCCCCCTCTGACAGACTCCAGGGTCCAGCTCCAGTTTTGCAGCACACTATATGTGTCTGTTGCTACTCACCAGGAGCTCAGCCCTCATCTAGAAACATTTGTTTTTCCAGGTGACATGAGGCCCATGCTCTCCCTTCTTCTGGTCCTCAGGGGGCTTTGCTGGTGCCCCGTCCCGAAGGCCCACTCTGCTCTGCCCACAAGTGTTCAGTGATTCCCGTGGACTGTTTAAAAAATAATCCTCTAACAGAGGTCAAAACGCAACAGAATGGAAGGCCTTTTCCTTTTTACAAACCCTGAAAAGACCTTTCTAAGGATACAGGGTGCGCTTTCAGGCCAGTGAATGCTTGGTCATCTCACCCCAGTTCTTTTTAGGAATGAAAAGACCATCCTGCCACCAACCCACCTCTCCCCTTCTGTGCTGATTCCAGTATGCCTGTTACAAGTTAATTGACTATCTGAGATGCCAGCTGGCCCCAGAGCTCCTTACCCTGGAGGAAGGGGTCTCTCCCACGTGGTGGTCTTGTTGTTATGGTCTACATAGTAGACTCTACCATTAGGCAGCTCTCGCTGTTCCCACCTGCAAGCAAAAAAAAAGTTTAAAAATCATGAGACAGTTGATGCTTGCTAGCACAGAGACCAAACCCTGGCCAAGGTGGAGCTACCAAAGCAAACTGCCCTCTGCGATGCCAGCCAGAGCAGTGTCCTCCTGCCACAGGGCTCCTCGGGTGCCTGTCCCCACCACACACTGCTCCAGGGCCAGCTGGGGAGAGCAGAACCCCTCAGGAGAGGACGTGGAGGAAACCTCTGCCTGTGCCTATCTTCTTGTCACACAGAGAGGTGAAGTGAAGGGGTTCAGCTGGAAGAAGCAATGGGGATCCAGCAGCCTCAGCCCCTAGACCTGCAGGTCAGAGCGAGCCAGAGCCTTTCTATACGTAGGACGCTTCACAGGCACCTTCATCTGCTTTAAATCATGCCCAAACAGCCTCCCTAGGAAAACTGTCTGCATGTGTGCCCATAGGCTGGGACTGCAGCTGTACAGCCCAGCCTCCCCCGCAGATCAGTGAGCTGTGAATAATTAATAATCACCCTTATTACCAAGAACGTCCAGAGAGCTGCATCTGGTGGATTTAGCAAGCCTACCTCCTCGCAGTGCTTAGTTACACTGTTCTAGCCTTTATTTAAAATCACGAATGACAGCAGGTCTACATGGCAGTTGTTTGGCTTGCTAGATCAAGACAAACGGAGAGGTGCTGCAGCAGTCTACTTTCTGAAAACAGGCATAATTTGGAGCATAAATTCTTAATTTCCTCCCAGAAAAATAGGAGAGTCGGCGTAAGATTTCACACAGGGTCAGTTTTATGCCCTGTGAGTTTTTGATGTAGTTTTTGATTGGTTTCTCATAATACATCTTTAAAGGGGAGCCTTTGAGTTCGGGCTGAGGCTGAGCTTTCTCCTTGGCAGCCCTCCTCCTCCTCGCTGCTGACAGACACCGCTTAAAAACATCACGTGGCCACAAGGCACAAGGTTCGGAGGTGGCCCCTGAGGGGACCTGGTGCGATAGGGAGGCCTGGCTTTACAGGGCTACACTGACAACCATTCTTTGCCCTAATTCATTCATGAAAGCGTATGCCCTGGCAAAGGTAAAAGCTCCGTGGAGCACTGTGCTCTCCTGTCAGCTTTTATTCTGCAACAGAGAGAGGCGAGCCAGCAGCTGCTGACAGATAAAGTGTTCTCCTGCCACACTTCTGCTCCCACAGGTCTCCCTCCCGATTCAATTTTCTACCTCAATTAATCATCACAAAAAGCCCTAGGAAATTAATATACAGCTTCTGTTGTGACAGCAAGGGAACAAATCTGGGCTTGCAGAAAGCAAGAAGGCCTTGGGGAGGAGGCACAAAGCGCCAATGTCCCATCGCTCGGGCTCACGCTGTCTCCGCTCACCCTCAAACCTCCCCAGGGGACGACGAAGCTCCCAAACAGTGACCTCAGCCACAACCACACACCTCTGATCCCCAGGTCCACATGCATCACAGCCTTGACACCACTCTCAAAAGAGGTGGGAAGGCAGAAACAGGGGAAGCTTCAGCTGTGTTTCCAAGCCCCAGCAGCGTGCCATCAGCTGGGGACCCCACCAGCCACGTGGGCAGCCTGAAAAACCCCTGCCCTAGGCAGAAGGCAATCTTGTACTCTGAGATAAGAGTTGGTTCCCAAAAAAAGCAGGAGGAGAACGTGAACGGCAGGCTCAGGACTTAACCAAGAGATTGTCTAACCCAAACCAGAGACATTGGCTTTGCTCCTATGGGCTTCTCAAAAGCACTGTCAACTTAATGCATCTGCAGAGACCAGGTAATCTGCAGATAAAAGCTTAAAAGTTACCAGTCAGCAGCACTGGATCTTTCTCATCCCTGGAACAGATCTAGGGACACCAATGGTTATCTCTGGTGGAAAGAGTCCAAGGCAGGACATAGTACACCTGTACCCCTTTGACAGCAAGGGGCTGCCAAGCATAACACTGCCCAAAGGAGCAACCACGTGAGAGCAGAGCCAGCACTACCCAGTGCTGCTCTGGGATCAGGACACCTTTGTCTCTCCACCCCATGGTCAGCCCTTTTCCTGGGTTACCCCCAGGCAGCGCTGGGCATTGTCAGAGGATAAACACCTGAAGTTTCCTGTTTGCTAATGATGAACTCAGTGCTTCGTGAGCATAAAAGCACCAGGACAGCTCAAAAAAAGGCCTGAAATATCTGAAGAGAAAAATCACCACAGCTGGGATTTATTGAAGACAGAAGCATGTCCACCCCATGAGATGGACAGCAGAAGGTTTCCAGGCATCTTCAGGGAGAAGCCAGAGCTATGGAAGTGTCACTGGCAGGAGAGCTGACCACTGCAGCCAAACCTTTGGGAAGCCCCTTCCCTGACTTGCACACAGGTGCTTCGGATCACCACCAGCAACCAGATATGGACCTGGCACAAGGCTCAGGTGGAGGAACGCTGTTCGCAAACAGAACTCCAAGGCACAGCTCTGCTCGTGAGACTTTGCAGGAGCCAGTATCCCATGGAAACCCTTTAAGCATCATCTCTTTGAGGTTGGTTGTATGTAACGGCCTCCTTTGAGCAGATCTAGAGACTGCAGCACCACTCACAGGGTGCAGGACACCTCCAGCCAGACGTCTCACCCATTTTGTCTGCACTGACATGCAGTGCTTTAGAGACTAACAGGACCTCATCCCCATACGCACTGAACCAGTGGTGCCAGCAGTCGTTGAGAGTGGACAAATCCTCCAGATTCATTAATAACAGATTCACAAGATGATTCATCTTGTGGCTCTGAGGACTTGGAAGTGGTTTATGAGACTCTCAAGCCTTCAAGTACCAAAAATCCCATGACGAGGACTCCACCAGGGCAGAGGGTTTCTGGATCCCTCAGATACTCTTCTGGGTGCCCTTGTGACTGCAAAGAGCCACACAGGATTGCAAAGAGCTGCTGGTGGTGGCAGCTACTGATTGATGTCCTCTATCCCCATCTCACACCCTATACAAACAGGTGATGAGCTCACATGCTTCTCAGGTCAGCAGCTCCCTGGTGATCTGAAAAGTAAATTTGCTGAAGACTGCCTCGCCCTACAAACAGCGAATCACCACCATTAAACAGCAAGCTGTGACAAGCTGTTACTACTGCAGACACACAGCAAAGACCTCAGAAATGGGGGCACTGGGAGCAACCCAGTTGCTCAGACCACCTTGTCCAGCTCTTCGCAGGCTTCCCTGCATCTCATCTGCCATCCCACAAGGGACACAGCTCAGGGAGATACACGACAACAGGCTCTTCCTCTGGGGAACCTCGGTCCAGCCAGCATTCCTCCCCTGTGTCCCCCACCACATCACCACCAGCACAGAAGATCAGCGGTTTAGCAAGTGCTAGATGGTGGGAGCTCTCACCCACGTGCACCACTGCTGCAAGCACGAAGCGCACGACGTGTCGGCCCCCACCAGCTCCCCTCCGCCTGCCCACAAGGCTTGCGAGAGCAGTGGATACAGGGAGCCACGGGCAGTGGGAAGTGGCAGCGCTGAGGCAAACCCGGCAGTCCAAACAAAACGCCCTCCTTATGTAAGAAACCACAGCCCCGTGCCTTCTGCCAGGCAGCATAATGTACCTCTTTGTACCGGCGAGACAGCGCTGTGTATACACGCCACGCTAACGACCGTCTGTCCCCCGCGCAGGATCATCACTGATAGGAACCAGATGCAGGAGCCAGCAGCTCCTTGCGCCCTCCCCCCCTTTCACTATCGCTCCGCTCGGAAACCCCTACGTGAGAAGCAGGACCCCACGCCAAGGGCCTCGAGGGCTGCGACCGGTTGCTCCTGTGCCACACACGCTCCCCGGCTTCGCAAGGAAACATGCTCTGCCCAAGCCAGGAGGTTGCAAAGGAGGTTCTGGGCACCGTCAGGACTGGAATTATTCAGAACACCTTCCAGCACCCTCCACAGCCCCTAGAACAGACTCAGGGTTGTGTGAGAGATGCCTTTGTGCCCACCACCTCTGCTGCAGATGTTCAGAGACAGCTATCCGAGCAGAATAAATAGCTCTGAATCCCCACATGAACCCAAGCCACTCTCGACTCCATCTGCACGCAGCCCGGCAACGAGCAGGGAGGCTGGGGCTCAGCTAGAAAAAGCTGCCACCCCTCCAGAGACTGAAGGGAAGCCGAGCATGAGTGGTCTCCATTCTCCCACGGGTGAAAGGAGACACTTGGAGAACGAGGCAGGGGTCCTGCAGAAAACAGGAGGGACATGATGGCTTTCCAGCTCTTCAGCGCCGAAACAAGCGGCAGCTCTGCAGGGGACATCGCTCCTGCGAGCGGCAAAGCAAGAGCCATCACTCCTGGGCTCCACAGTTCTCTCTGCATAGCTGTCCCTGTGGGAGATGGGCCAGCGAGGGGCTATCCTGCACTGCTTTCTGTGGAACACACTGCAGCCAGAGCTGAAGTGGTCTGCAGCCCTTCTGCCTCAGACAGCACTGCCTCCACCAGCCCAGCCAGCCGCATCCCCATCTCCCAAGCTGGGCCCCAAACCACTAAGGCAAAGCAATACCCCAGCGTTGTGAGCCAGCCAAAAAATCAACTGTCCTAGATCAGGTCTCAAGAGATCCCCAGAACCTCATTTATACCACCCAGAGTCACAGTGTTTTGTGCAATCCCCGTTTAGGAAATCCCCGTTTGTGCAATTCCCTGTTAGCCCAGGACCTGGTCTGGCAGCTCTCAGGGCAGGGCTCGCACCAGGGAGATGTCAAGGGATTTAATTCTCTGCTCTCCTTCACCTGGGAAGGCCTTGACACTTGGTCTCCACCTGACCAAGCAGGTCAGCTGCTACCCAAGCCAGCCCAGCAGGAGCATTTAACTCAGCATAGGCAAGAGGGTTGCTGCTTTCTTTCCCCACTACAGATCCTACAGTCAGGATGGGGAGGGACAGATACACAAGGTGCTAAATCAAAGGTCTCTCCAGAGATCCAAATCCCACAGGCTCAGCCTGCAGAATGGCTCACTACCCCTTCACTGCTCTTCTCCAAAAAGCACAACAGCTTTATCATCCTCCCTGCTACGGCGTGCAGGATTTTCTGGTGTGTGAGCACCGCAGGTAGACAGGCACGGGGAGGATGTGGGGCCACCCTTCCACCCAGCTGGACCAGGTAAACGCAAGTCTGGTGTGTCTTAGAAAGCAGTGCTTGCAACCTCCCCCAGCCTCCGGAAACCCGAATCGTGAGATATCCGCGGGCTCCTCTCTGCCCCAGGGAAAGAAACAACAGCCTGTTTCCACCTCGGGCTGTGCAGAGGTGGGGAAAAGAAGACCTTCAGTCTACCTGGTAGGAGCAGAAAGGGGCACAAGCTCTGCCGGGAATAAAGACCTTTTTCAGAGCACTGGACTTTTCCAGCTGCCTGGAAACAGGAAGCGCCCAGGCCGGAGAACAGAAACCCTCACACACCCCGCATAAAGGCACACTGAGCCGTTAACCCTAATTACCTGTGACTGACACACGAGCGAGGCCCTGACCTTCCAGGCATCGCCTCAGCCAAAGGAAAATAAACAGCTCCCTTCATACGAAACACAAGCCATTTTCAACGCCCCCCCTCTCGCCGCTTTGCTTTTTCAGCCCAGAATGAAAGGTGTCTGAAATACAAGGGGAGACCAACCCAGCTGCAGCAGGGAGTGGGGCTGAGCCCACAGCCTGCCCACCACCCCCACCAGCACGGCTCAGCCAGCCCCAGCTCTTCTCCCAGCCCCTTCCCCACGTCCCACGGAGGAGGAGGAGGAGGATGTGGAACATTGGCACCAGGGAGAAGAACAGGCACAGCTAACTGAGAGTCCTGCCCACCTCCCACCAGCAGTGGCCAATGTCTCCATGGTGTCTCCGGAGTGCACGTTCATGCCCTCCTGCTCAGTGGAAACTCCCTGGAAATTCACTCACTCCCTCGTGCATTTTCCTCTGACTGATCCTTTCAGCAGCCCCAGGAGAGCAGAAGACTCTGCTGCTCCCCTGGGCGCAGAAGCTGAGAGGCTGCTTGTCACAGAGATGCAATTCACTGTTTTTCACCCAGAGACCCACAGTGGACACAGACCAGACCCCAGAGGAGGAATCCACAACAGTCAAGCCCCAGTCAGACAGCTGAGATGAGGACAGGCTGTGGCAGGCGAACAGGGTAGAGGGATCCCTGATAGGCGCCCCCAGGCCCTCTCTGCTCTGTTGACCACCATCATTTCCATCAACTCCTAGTGCAGCACAGCCCCTTCCCTCAAACATCCTCTTCTTCCAGTACACAGCAGTGCCCCAGTTCGGTCATGTCCCCCCAGCTGTCCTTCCAGGGCCATGTCTTCCTCCCTGAGGGCCACAGGCACTCTGTTGTGCCACCCCTGCCAGTGGAACAGAAGTCTCAAGCAGAAGGCAGAGCTTACCCGGGGGGCAGAGCATCCAGGGCTAGCACCGCTGCCCGGGCCGGTGGGGCGCTGGAGCCGGAGGCTGCCTCCTCTGCCTCTCCAGAGCTGGTCAGGGCAGGAAGGGCAGGAGTGACAGAGCTGTCAGCCGCGCTCGGCGCCGCTGGGGTCGGTACGCTCGCTCCTGCTGCCGGCCTTTCCTCTTCGATGTCTGTAGCAACTGCTGCATCTCCGTTCACTGGAAAGGCAGAGGGCAGAGACATTAGCACCCAGAAAGGATAAAGGGCATCTGGCTGATCTACTGCACCCACACAGCCCTGCAAGCAGAGCACGTGGTGGGTGGCAGACACCACCACCCAAGCACAGGACTTATGGTGCTCCCAGCTTGTAGCAAAGGTGGCAGCACCTCCTTCACCCAGCAGTCAGATCCCTCTGGGAACCACTGCCTTTGTCCCAAGACAAAAGCAAAAGGTACTTGGCATTTGTGTTCAGAATCTCTTCTGCCACTTGCAAACATGCTGCCTGCCTGATGGGAGTTCAGGTAGAGAGCAGGAGCTCAGAAACTGCTGGTGCAGCATCCCCCGCCCAAGGCAGAAGGAAGCTCAGGCTCAGCAAATCAGCTAAACTGCTAAGAGCTAAAGGTTGCTGGATTCCACTGAACTTTTGGAAAAGGGAAGGGGAAGAGACAGAGCAAAGGAAAATTACAAGGAAAACCGATGAGGAGGAAAATGCAGACCAAAAAAAAATGAAAGGGAATTTGTTTGACAAATATTTATTAGATAGCCAAAAAACACAGTCCAGCAGAGGATAACTTTTGCTACAAGACATCCTGGCTTCAGTGGCAAAAGCATTAAAAACAAACCAGCAACAAGTAACAAAGAAGTAAGGGATGCAGACAGAGCTCCACAAGTTAGAGCTGAGAAACGTGGAAACCTGTAAGGCAAGTAACTGTGTCTACAAGCCCAAGTATTTAGAAATACTGCAGGGAAAAGCCTCAAAACAGTATAAACCCCCACAGAAGAACTACAGACACTCTTAGAAGAGGTGGACTGCTCAGGACGCTTTTGTTTTGTAGCTAGAGGGTAGCAGGACAGCACCAGCACATAAGGAGCCCCTCAGGCAGCATCTACAGGCAATGAAGATTTCCACCTTTGCGGGCTCACAGCAACATCCACTGGCATCCTGCAAGTCTCGAGTGAGAAGGTCTCTGACTGCTGCTCATTTCTAGCAAGCCCTGGAAAGGGCAATTTTAATAGCTTCAAACACATCGTGCCAATCTTCAAAGGGAACCTGCAGAATGACCCCGGTAACTAAGCTGTGATCCTGGACAAAGCAGGGGAAAAGCTGATCCAAAGTTCACCTGATAAGGAAGGGCTCCAAGGGGAACACAGCTAGGGCTAAGCAACGTGGCTGTAGAGAAGACACGCCATGAAATAATCTCCTTTTACTGTCAGATGAAATTACAGCTGTGAGTGACAAATGTAATGGGAATGTCCTTGCCAGAGTCTGCTCAAAAAACACGGTAACGTCACCAAAAGGTACCAAATTAAGGAGGAATAGGACGGTTTCTAGAGGCATTCCACAGGGCAAGACAGGGTGTCCAGCACTAATCCCAGACACCTGAAACACTCATCTCCCCATCCTGACGTGCAAAATCATCACCAACACCACTTGCAGGAGACACGGAAGGTTGGTGAGTGGTAAACAGCAATGAGGCCGGCAGAGTCATAAAACCACCGGGAAGGCTGGGGCCAGGCCAATAAAACGTGTTTTAAACAAACCAAAGCCAAGGGGCCAAGCTGTACTTGGGAACAAAAACTCTGTCCACAGCCCGAGGGAGTGTCCCCCGCACAGCGAGGACACTGGGAAGGGCTGGGTGGGCACAGGGGACACTGCACAGCATTCGGTCCCAGTACAGTGCTGCACTGAACAGGGCAGAGATGAGCCAGGGAGGGGAGCACAGACCAAGCATTTCACGTCAGCCTTCCGCTCCTCCATCTCCCTCCCCCAAATGGGTTTTGGCAAAATTGAAATTGCGTTGCTCCAGGTTTTTTCCAATGAAACGGAAAAAAAGGAAAAAAAAAAAATCTTCCTTTTGGGTTGAACAAAACATTTCCTTCCACCCAAAACAAAGCACTCTGCTTCTCCTTCCAGTTCTCCGACACAAGCAAAAGAAGCAACGGCACTGCCTGCAAAACAGTGCAGGGGAGCAGCAGATGTCACACTGCTCGGCCGGCTCCATGAGAGCCAGAGAAGGGAAACAGATAAGCTGCTTGTAGCTTCGCAGTCAGGCACTCTGCAGGTTACAGTCCCCACTCTACAAGGTACTTATGGTTTTGGGGACAAACCCAAGAAAAAACAAGATAAACTCTTCCAGAAATACCCTCTGGTGTAAGAATCAGCCCCCTTTGGGAGGTGGGTTTGTTCCTTCTCTGGTGTTCCTCCCTGCTTTGGTGGGCAAGAGTTCAAAACTGATGGGCAAGTCTGGCTGAATGCTCCCAACCCTAAAAAAATCCCACTCAGCTGTGATAACTGCCCTCCTCGCAGCGGCATCAGTGACATTGCTGTCCCAGTATCCTTTTAAAAACCTGGAGCTGGATGCAGTATTTTTGTCAGGGAGACTCCAGAGAAGAGCCACAGAACTTACAATAGGCAGAAGAGATCACACCAGTGCGCTCTGCGGAACCGCCCAGCTTATCAAGCATAAAATCAATAAAAATCAACCAATTCACAAGGAGGAAATTCCCAGACACGACAAGATCTGTGATTTTAGCAGAAATTCATTTTCTCCCACCAGACGCAGCCCCCATCTCTGTCCCCCACCACCACCTCCCACGAGTGCCAGCTCTACCTGCGCCGTTGGCTGTGCCGTTGGCCATGCCGGCGTGCTGTGTGCCCTTGGCCTGCTGCCGGTGCCGGCTCCTGGCACTGGGACTTTGCTCTCCACTCCCCGGGTTTTGCCTGGCCGCTCCAGCCACATGTCGGTGCGTCCTGCAAGGGAAAGAAACACGGGAGCTGACACATACCCCTGGCCTCACAAAGAAAACCCAGCTCCTGCCTTTTTGCCTTCACTTTGTGCCGTTTGTCCCCCAGCACAGCCATCAGTCCCCACTGAGAATGGCCAGGATGCAGCCATGCATCTCCGCTCCTTTGGCTATGCCCTGAACTTCGTGCTGCTTACTGGGACCTGCCAGCCTACCCACAGGTCCTGGCAGAGTCCCATGGAGGAGTAACCTGGGTGACAATGACCTTGCTTTGGTTTGCAGGTGCTCCCTGGGAATGACCCCAGACACTCACAGCTGGAAAACTGCTTGCAGCACCAAGCTATCAATGCCACTGGCAGTTTGCTCCATCCACCCCTGCAATCCAACTGCCAGGAGAGGTCCCATACCATCACCACCTCCTGCGCCATGGTGGGAACCCTCCCCAAGCCTCCTGCCCAGCTACAAGTCTTGCACAAAAGCAGATGAGGAAGGTCCAAGTGCTTACTGCTACCGTGACAGCCGTGGCCTCCTGCAAAGGAGGGAACAAACAGCTGAGAAAGATTGGAGCTTAAATCATAGAATCATAGAAACCACAGCCCAGGTGGAGACCAGCTTGGATGTGGCTGCTCCATCTTCAGGGGGTCTTCACTTTGTGCCACATGGGAGCTCCCTTGCCACCACATCCCCACGGCCAGGGCAGCCTGACCTCTGTGGACAGAGCGTCACCAGCTCTCCCCAAGCAAACTCTCCCCCTTTGACCGTCCTGGGCCCCTGAGGCAGCTCGAAGGCATTCAAGAAAAAGCTGGGTTTTCATGTTGATAAAGAAACCTGGTCTTTACTGCAAGCGGAGAGGGGCACAGGGCAGGGTGGGAGGGGGGATGCTGCCTTCCTGCATCCCAGGGGGGCAGAGGCAGAGCCCAGCCACCTCTGCCCAGGATCCTGGGCTGGGGCAGCAACCACAGAGGGTGAGGACCAGAGGGATTAGGAAGTTGGTTTGCCCCAGCCAAGTTCTCCCCTTAAAAGGGCAAAACCCACAAGCTGTCCCCACATCTTGGGGCTGGAGCTGGGAGGGGACAGCAGCTTGGCAGCAACAGGGCACAGCGTCAGCCATGCCACCCTCACCAGCTCCAGCAAGCTCTCAGTTCCTCCCACTCGCTCCAAAGCACTGTCCTTAGGGAGCAGCTCACGACAGTGGGCAGAGGAAGGGCTGGGATCGGGAGGAGACATGGGAAAGCATGAGATGGCTGCTGTTGAAAATAGATCAGATAAGAGCCACGGACAGAGCAGCCTGCGAGCAGGAGCTGCCATGGCCACTTCAACTAGCCATGGACCTTCCCAAGAGGACAGCCTCACATAGGGGCTCCTCGAGGCACCCCTCAGATGGTGAACTCACCCCAGAAACCCTGGCTTCCCCCAGGACACCTCTACATGCTGGGTGTTTGCTTTGGCCATCAGCACCTGGGGACTCAAAGCAGCTGTAGGAGGAGAATGGGCTCCTCTTCCCTTGGCTGTGAGGTGAAGTTTGCCCCTCATTGCCTCTTCATGGGGCTCAGAGGGGCATGATGGCACCACACACCTCCCAAAAGTTGGCTGGAACCCACCTCCCCACATTCCCTCCATGCCAAGGTTGGGAGGCAGCATGGCCTAAGAACCCTGGCCGGAGGGGAGCAGGCAGGTAGCACCACCAGCAGGAGCCAGTCCCACTGGGAGTAGCTCCCAAGGCACGGGACAGATCTGGGCCCTGCCCTTCTCAGCACAGATGAGCTCAGAGCTGCCCAGAGAGTTTTTAGAAACCAAAACAGGATGTTTCCAGGCTGCCAGCCGGCCGCACAGGGTTACCAGGCCTGAATTAGCCGGCCCGCCGCCCAGCCCAGCCCTCCTACGAGTGCTCCCATCTGGGCATTGTCTTTTAATAGACGCGTGGAAACAAACCCAGCGAGGCCACGTGAGAGCGGCGGGGCTGGGAACACGCTCTTAAAATAGGAGCGGGGAGAAAACAAGTCGCAGCGTGGACAGGAACAGCCTCTTGCATCCACGCTGGTGGGACGGAGGGCAGCCCACCTCCCCGGTGGCTGGCAAGACCCCCACTGTCCCCCATCAATCGGGGACCTCGGATGGCTGCCCCATTACGTGCTCTGCCCCATCACCCCTCCTGGGCCAGAGGGAGCAGATGATGCTGAAGAGGAAAGCAGCGTCATCCAGGGTGACATCAACCTTTCAGCTCCCCCTTGTCTGCCGAGGCAGAGCCCCCACACCGCAGAGGGCTGACGTGGGCCTCGGGCACGAAACACAGGAACAGCCGCCTCCTACCACTGCGGTGGCCAGAAGGTCCTGGCATGAGACGCCAGCAGAGGTGGCAGCACCAGTCTCGGCCTCACCGGACAGACCAGATCACAAACTGTGGACCAAGAGGAGGGAGGGCAGCACACGCAGCCAGGAGCCAGCACGGGCTGTGGGGGGTTGGGGCACAACCACTGGGAAACAAAACCAGGAGAGTCCTGGCGCCACGTGGACAGCAGGGGCTCAGCTCCTAAAACATAGAGCTGAGAAATTCCCCCTGCCCCTGCAAAGCGGGGAGGAGGCAGCCACGTCCTCCTGCACCCAGCCCTCACGCCCTGAAGAGCCAGGAGCAGCGACGGCAGCCCTGGTACCATCACCCTGGAGCTGGGGCAGGAGGAACACCCCCTCACCCCACAGCAGCGGGACATGTAGCCAAAGAGATGAGCAGCTCCGAAACCCCAAACCCAGTTTATTTCTGCTACCACCCCCTTCCAACTGAAGCAGGACCCATCTCATGGCTTCTTCATGTTCTCCAAGGCCCTGAGCAGCCCCCTGGCCCCTCTGCAGCAGCAGGCAGCACACCCGCCATGCAGCACTGCCTGCCCCTTTGCCTGCGCCAAGGGTGCAACTGGTGATGGCAGTTTCCCCAGCCTTTCCCTATTGCTGTGTCACATCAGAAGCCACACGCCTGGGGACATCCCTCAGCCACACGCAGAGCTTTGCGGAGCAAAGGGTCTCATGAAAGGAAATACTTCGTCTGAGTGACCCAGAGGCGTCTCCCGCCTGCCCTCAGGGATGCTCAGGCCCATCACGAGCCGAGAGGTGACTTTTTGACATCACACAAGCAGAGAAAGCAAAACAAGCTACACAGAAGACATCACTTGGGTTTGTAAGAGCTTGTGGCAGGTGACAGCAGCTCCTCACGGCCATGCCTAGATGCATGCAATACCCGACATGGCTCACCAGCTGGAGCTTCTCCACAGGGCGAGCAGCAAACCAGGCTACTTTATTCCCTGCTGTCAGAAAAGGCCACTTTGGCCACCACAAAACAAACAGGGATTGTAGCAACTCTTTCGGCACCCATGGCACCAGCTTGCAGCCAGGGACCTCTGGGCTCTGTTTTCTCTCCACACAAGAAAGCTGTGGAATTTCACACCCCGTCACCAAGATTAGCAGCAAATCCCAAGATGACATTTGTTCAGGAGAAGAAAGAGAAGCCCTGACCAAGCAGTTTCCCTTGAGGGGACAGTGTAGAAATAGCTGAGGAGCAAAGAATGACCCTTTTCTTTCCGTCCTGCCTGCCTGTGAGTTTGCCAGCATCCATCACCAAGCCCATGAAAATAAACACGGCTCTGAGTATAAACAGAGCAAACATCAAACAGCATTCCCATGAGCAAAGGACCTGTACTCCACTCCAGAGAAGGCAGCTGCCTCCATGGTGGGTACGTAGAGCAATGCTCTGCCCCGTATAGCAGTACTACATCAAACTGTGGAGTTATGTCCAGAACAAGGTGAGCATAGGATGAATTGAAAACTAACTAGGACATTTCCCATACCAGAGCAGCCATGGTATTTTTAACGATTGCAAGCACACCTGGAAGATCTCTGAATGTCCCTTGTAGAAGTACTGGCTGGATCTCACCACACTTTTCTTGCATGCTCATAGGTCACGAGGACACCAAAACCAGAAATGACTTTCAGGCAATCGGGAAGCAGTCAGGAATCAGAAGTAGTTACCAGGCTGAGCCTTCCAAACCCAAACTTTCTTTGCAGGCTTTCTAGCACCTACTGAGAGCTGCTAAGTGGCTGCAAAGCCCAGCTCCTGTCAGGACACTGAGTGCTCTCTCACCCCTTAGGGGGCTCTAACACCTGGACAGCAGGAATCAAGAGGAGCAGCCAAAACAAAAGGGCACAGACTGTGTTCAACAACCCGCTCCCAATTTCCCATCCCACTCCCTCCTCGGGTAGGAGATAAACACACAATATGGAAAGACACAGTCACTTTTTAGAGCCAAAAACACTTCTCCCCTTTGCTCATCTCATACAGTGCCCAGCAGGTGAAGAAGGAGCAGAAAGTCAAGGTGTGGGGCTTGCTGCTGAGGGTGCTCCTAACCCCGAGGGCACGCAGAACCTCTTATCGGGCAGGCTGTAAGCGCCCTCTCTACAGGCATGCTTCTAACCAGAACATCTGTATAGGCTGCTGGGACACTGCCATGCTCTGGAAATATAAATAGGTGTTAAATTCAACTCCATGTTGACAGTGTGACACGTCTCTCAATAACCACAGCTCCAAAAGGAGCAGCGCTGAGCCACTCCAGCCCAGCGAGAAGGCAAAGAAGGGCACTGTGCCAGGCACAGGATGGCCTGGTGCCCAAGCATCTCATTTCCTTTGGAAGCAGCTGTTATTTCCCTGCAGCTCTGCTTCTCCTGCTCTCCCTGGACCTTTGGAAGCGTCCCCCTGTGACCACTCCCCAGAGGGGCATTGCACTTCCCAGCCTGGCCCAGTGCCTGGCCAGGGCTGTGCTTGAGGCAAGAGCTGGGGTCCCCATAATTCCCATTTGAAAGGACCCCTGCAGACCAGCCCTTTGGCCACAGCCTGCCCCACACCTCTCTGGTAGGCCATGTCCTCAGGTGCCAGTAGAGCAACTGGTGGAAACTCTCTGGATGATCACAGACCTGACACCCCTCAAGAAACAAATAGTTTAAAGAGAGGCCTGAGTCAGGCACACCCCAGCTGTATGGCCACCTCCCAGCTATACTGTCATCCAGGTTGGCCAGCCCACTTCTGCTCCACACCTCCTATGGGCTGCTTTGCTAGAGGCTCACTGGGAGATCCAGAGTGGACTCCACTGCACAAGCTTGATTTAGACACTTCTGAGCTGCCTCACGACCACAGCAACCACCCAGGAACAGCCTGTCAGCACAGGACCCTTACCTTGGTCGGCTTCCAAAGCAGTTTGTACTGGGAGGTTGGTGTCTGCTCTCCGTGGCCGTGGTCGTGTTGCTGGGGTCCCGTCCAGGCACCTGGGACCCTGAATGGGTGAAGAAAAAGTGGGTGAAGAAAATGACCGAGGCACCTACTAGTTCTACCTTCCTTCCCTCCTTCCAGATAGGAGACCCCAAAGCTCAACAGGACAGACCTACCAGCACACAAGGACACCCTGCCCTTACGCTGGTGCTCTCCTCTCCCACCGCAGTGCAATGGCACAGCCTGTCCCCACAGCACCCCATGGCACTGAGCACAGCACTAGGGAAGGTAAATGCAGGACTCTGCGGAACCGGCAGCGCCAGGAGAGTGGCCATATTTAAGGCTTCCAGATTGCCCAGGCTTTGCCTCCCAGCGAGGGAAAGCAATGCACCAGCCCCTCTCCGGCACAAGCTCTGCTGGCTCCCCTGGCAGCCCCGATGGGTCAGACTTCCATCTGTGTCTCCGCACACCCTCTACCACAGGCAGCCCTTTTCCGAGCGGTTCGTTAAACACAGAAGCCCTTTCTCCAAGCCCACACAGGAGAGCGAGGGAAGGGGCCGAGCCGCACGGGCGGCTGGCGGGGGGGTTCTGGAGAAGGGCTGCTCCTCTCACACCATCAGGGAGGCAGGGCGTGAGGCTGTCGACGCTCCCGCTCCCACCACACGCTCGCTCCCGTGGGAGCCCGTGGACAAGCCCGGGGTCGGGGCGGGCAGCGGCTGGAGCCTCACCTGGGAGAGGAGGCGTGTGCTGGCACCGGGACGCCGGCGCAGAGGTGCCGGGGGCCGTGCTCTCGGCCCCCAGCTCCTCTCCCCACCGCCTCGTGCTCAGAGCCACCGCACGCATGCGGAGAGGGGCGGCACTCACCCTCTGTCACGGCACTGCCATTAGGCAGGCTTCCCAGATCAACAGCAGGCCCGTCCAGGAAAATCGTCAGCTCTCCGCCGGAGACAACGCTGCCTTTGTTCTCCGTCTGGAGGTCCAGGGTCAGCTGCCTGTTCTCCACTGTGGGAGATGAGAGGACATGGAGAAAGAGACCAACTAGTCACCACTAAGGATGCCAGCCGTGATGGTTCTACCACCCCGCCTCCCCCATGGGATAGGACTTCAGATTCCTGGCCCCCTCCAGGCCTCCCCATGCCCCCAAAGGACAATGTGCCCACTCCCTCAGGGCCAGTGGTCCCAGTAAGCACCACCAGCATTGTCCCCAAACCTACACATAGCTGCCAGCATCACCAGAGGACACCCAGCAAGCCCCACCACCAGCTCCTGAAGAAGACTCTCCTTCACCAGCCATTGCTCACAAAGTCGGATGGCTCCTTGGGGGTGGAGCTGCCCCAGGGCCCCTGGCTGCAATACAGCCGAGACCACCATCGCTCACAGATCCAGAAGCTGGGGCTGTAGGGGAGATCACGACAGGAAAACTGAGGGATTTGGCTGGTTTGACATGACACATGGGGAAAAAAGGGTCCTGCATGAGGGTGACCACCAGCAGGCATCTGGGACACAAAGCAGATTGATGGCCACATGCCCAGCGGTGCCTGAAGCCCTGGCCTGATGCGGAGGAGCAAGCAGCATCTTTCAGAATCAGGGGTATCCTCATACCACCTAGAAAAGCCAGATAAGCAGCAAAGGAAAACTCCAGGCACATCCCTCCATTCTCATCCCCGTGTATCAGTTCCACTGAACACAACCTCCAAACACACAGAAATGCTCTGCTGTGGCATCAGACTGCCTTCGCAGAAGCTTCTGGAGTGGGTGGCATGGGCTGGGAGGCTCCTGGAGACAGCTGCCAGCTCCGCTCCACTCCCCTCCCTCGTGAGCCAATTTGGCTGCAGCAGCTTAGTGAGACTATGCCAGTCACAGCTCCAGGCACAGCTGGACACGGAGGCTTTGCTGAGGTGTAACAGCCCCAGGAACACCGCTCTGCCCTTGGGCATGGAGTAAGGAGCGGTGGGGATGAGGAGACAACAAGCTACATGGTGCCACACACCGGGGCACCAAGCAGCTGCTTCGAGAACCACCACCTGCCCTGTCTCACCAACACAGGTTGGCAGCCACAGCTCTCCGGCTCCCTGCACCTCAGGACACCCACCACCCTTCCAGCTCCTCCGAGGTCTCTGGACAGCAGCAAGAGGTGCCCCTGGAAGCCACCAGCCACTGCTAGAGCAAGGCACAGTGCGAAAGGGCCGCCTGCACGCCTCCCACAACCTCCTCCAGCCACTCACACCAAACCACCTACTGCAGAGCTGTGTCCCCACAAGTGACGAGAGAACACCACGACCCTCAGTGCCCACGGGCAGGCAGGGCTCTTGCACCATCTCAGCGATGCCTGCCGGAGCCAGCAGGACCGAAACACCCAGCTCCGCCACACAAGGCCAGAAAAATTTGGCTGCGCCAACCTGGGACACTGGCCCAGATGCTTCCTGACTCATTTGCTCAAATAATATTTTTATTATACACAGATTGCTCATGACACAATGGCACCATTTTTTAGTGTCCTGCTTTGTCCTGGTCTGCCGTGGGGACGGGGTGCGGTACCTGTCAGCGGGAGCAGAAGGAGGATGGAAACACGCTCCCCATGGACACCTCATCCCATCTCCAGCTCCAGGCTGAGACATGCTGGCAGGGCCCCAGGGTGTGCAACTGCCACCCAAACAGCATCTGTGGCTCCCAACTGCCAGACCAGCCCCTGCACAGGACCAGGGGTGAAGGCACAGAGCTCATGGTGCCCCTACACACTGGCCTGGCCATTACCAGGGCCAGAAGCAGCCACACACCTCTTGCACCAGCCCAGAGAGTGGCTTCTGCCATCCTTCCCTCTGTGGAGCTGCTCCTCCCCATAGGGCCCCTGTTGACCTCACACAACTGGGAAGGGACACAAATGGGACAGAGAAAGGTCTGGCACAGCACTCGCATCACACATGCCAGCCCATGGCTGGTAGCCATCCATCCTCCAAGCCAACCAGCACCGCAACAGGGAGCCCAGCTCTGAGTGACTACTGCCCCATGGGGCTCTCAACAGGCAGCCCGAAGCTGGAAGCACCACAGGGTCTGCAGGACAGGCTGCACTCATGGATCTCGTGAAAGCACCTTGGGTTTTTAGTGGCAAGGAGGCAAGTGTCCCTTCAGAGTCCAGGCATGGCAGGAGAACACACTTGAGGGGACACAGCACAGAGGTCTTGCCTAAAGGAGCTGCCTTGAGTTTGGTCCCAAGGGGAAACGATCCCACAGACAGTTTTAACAGCCTGAGACAGAAGATGCTACTGAGTGCGGCCAAAACCCAGGACAAATCCAGACCCTGTTTCTCCCCAGCCGCTCCAAGCCATAGGAATCTGCATTTTCTCCAAGCCCTGCGGAAGTTGAGCCTGCACGCTCTGGGGGTCCCCTCCATCCCCCTCAGCGAGCGCCCGGCAGCCCAGCACACCGCTCTCCCCGCCGGAGCTGCACAAGCCCTCATTGTGCAGGCGCCCAGCCGAGGGGGCGGCAGCGCAGGAGCAAAGACAAGGTGTCTCCAAGTGGAGGATGTGAACATGAACCTCCCAGCCGGCTTCCTTCTCCCCCTTCTCCACCCCCTTCAGCTTTTTTAAAGAAAATAAACACTAGCAGAACCTTCCATTCACTGTCCCAGTCCAGCACGCGGGACGCACAAAGGGACATTGCTGTTGCACCAACAGAGGGTCCCCTGAACGGCTGAGCACAAAGGCTGCCTGTGTCCCGCCGGCAGCCAGAATGTCAGAGGGATTATTATTATTTTGGGAGGGGGTCGGGGGGTGATTTGGTCCTGAATAAGGTCTCAGTTCAGCTACTTCCAGTGCCCCGCACGCAGCATCAGAGCTCCCATTTAGCGGAGGTGAGCTGGAATTCCCACCCAGCCCATTAAGCGGATTTACGGTTCCACGAAGCGAGGCTGGTAGCAGCCAGCCCGATAACGGCCCCGGGCTGAGCCCGAGCCCTCCAGGACCTCCAGGGACCACAATCCTCTGACGCCCATGGGTACAAGCACCAGAGAGCTGATGCGTGGGAGCCCCTCTGCCTCTTCCCTGGCTTGGGTGGCCCTGTCTTCACACACACAGCCAGGAAGATTTCCAGACAGACAGCCGGATGGTGCTTCCCACCCTCTCAGCTCCCCAAACTCTCTTCGCTCAGTTCCACTGGATGCAAAGGCCAGTTTCCACTCAAATGGCTCCGGGTGATCAAAGCTGTATCCATCATCGCCTCTCGAGAGCAGCCCCCTGCGGAGCAGCTGCCACTTTTGCAAACAGAAGATAAGCAGATCCTCTGGGCTATCCTCAAAACCACGTTCTCCAGCCAGCAACCTACTCATCCCCCACCAATCCACCGAAGAATCAAAGCCCAGAGCCAGAACCCTGCCCTGAAAGCACCCTGGCACTAGACAGAAAAAACCAGGGCAGAAAATTACATCAGCAGGGCCACTCTCAGCCCTGGTGGGAGCACTAAGCCATGCTGGCTTCTCCTGGGTCTTGAGGCCCCAGAGCTGCCCCAGAGCTACCCCAGAGCTCAGGGCTGTCGGGCTGGCAGCACCCACCTCCCTGGTGCTTGGCCAGTTAAGACTAGCTTAACCTTTGTGCATGCCTGCAGCTGAAGGAATGACCCCGTGCTGTGGCTACAGGAGGAAGTTAGACGTTCCACAGCTATCTCCAAACCAAGGAGGAACCCAGGGTTTAGGGGAAGGAATAATCTTTAAAAGGTAAAAAGTAAAAATGGGAAGCTTTGCTCCTGCTGCTGACCCAGTCTGAGTCACCGCTGCTTAGAGACAACTGTGTCCCACTCTGTTGATCTGCCAGGTATAACTAGAAGAACCTCAGACTTCTGCTTCTTTCCTCTGAACCGTCACAGGCCTGGGAAAGAAGGCAAGGTGGGAAAAGAGAGTCCAAGAGCCCAGTATCTCTGACCGGGGGCAGCTGGCTGTCTGCAAAACAGCCCGGCCAGGGCATGACAGGACCAGAACCAGGGACACTGCCAACTCACTGCTTTGGGCACAGAGAGCAGCCTCCCATCCAAAGAGAACCTGGAGGTGGCCAGAGAACAGGGACAGCGCTGGTGGTCACAGCGCCATTGGTTCTGCAGGACATTGAGGACACGACACAGGAAAGGTGACACAGGGTAGGCACGGTCCGACCCCCACTGTCACTTACTGGCTTGGACAACCAGTTTCACAGGACTGTTGCCCAGCTGCTGCAGAGCCAGCTGCTCACTGAACAGTCACCTCAGCCAGTCTGCACGTTTGCCTTCACACTCCTCACTAAGAGCCTTTGCTGCCGGGCCACGCAGGGGAGCTCCTTTGACAGCGTATCCACGACACGGAGGCAGCTGCAGCTTTCCAAAGGTTTGGGGGGTTGCTGCTAGCTTCCTGGAGGGTCCCGTGAGGCCACAGCTCCAGCAGCTCTGCCTGGGGCACAGCAGCAGCAGCAGGGAAAGAAAAGGCTCTGCAGGATCTGTAAAACCCTGGCATGCGGTGCCACTTGAGAAACAGGAGCCTGTTGATGTAACTTGCAACCCGAGCAGCGAGCAATAAAAGCCAGTGCTTTCATTTGCGAGCTGCAGCCTGGCTCACTCCAGCGCCTGCACAGACACCCTCTGCTCGGCACACAGCGGGACCAGCAAAAACCAGCGAGGCCCAGTTATCGGCTTCCAGTGGCAGGCGGTGGTGCGAGGCCGGCTGGGGATGTTCCTCGCAAGAGGAGCAGGAGAGGAGCTCCCGGAGCCTGGGACAAAGAGGTGCCTCTGAGCAGGCAGCAGCTCGGGGGCCGGGGCAGGGGGCTGTGCCATTGCAAATTAGCTGTTTTACTGGAGCCCTGGGAGCAGCTCGGTGGAAGGCTCCAGCTCATTTTCTGTGATCGAGCCCATTCTTACCCACCTCTCCTTCTCCCCAGCCAATCCCCTCCAAAAGCGGGAGGGCGCTGCCTGCCAGAGGAGAGGCCCCAGAGGCGCCTGCCAAGGCGGTGGGAATTGCAGCAAGCCCGAAAGCAAGGCTGGACCAGCCCGGAGCAGGAGCTCCTGTCCCACAGCTTGGGCTGTTAGCTCCAGCAGGCTCTCCCCATCTTCCCGGGAGCTCAGGCCTGACCAGGCTCATCGCTGAGCTCTTTTTCCAGGCCTCAGAGCTGAGGCTTTTCCACCTGAAGTGAAGCATGCTTGGCATGAGGGCAGACAGAAAGAAGAGGGGGAGCTTTGGCATCTTCCTGGCTGGTGGGAGTGCTGCCATGGACATCAGCGGGGGCGAGAACACCACCCCTGCCCAAAAGCAGAGCAACCAGAACAATCCTTCCACACCACGTAGAATAACTACAGGAACACAAACCAAAGGCCACAGCTACACTCACATGTCAGTAGCTTACTAAAAACCTCACCGAAACTATAACAAACCCAACTAAGCTAGAAACTGGGGCTGCTGCATGGCAGGAGCCCCCTTTGGGGCAGGATGCTCCCCCTGAGTGCTTCCCAGGAGGGGGAGAGGACGATCAGGCCCCCGCCAGTGGCAGAGTGCACATGTATTTTGGTGCCCTCCCAACGTGGAGAGCTGCATGAGGACGTTACTTGTCCAACTGGGGATGATGTGAAATTTGAAATCCCATTTACATGCCCTCGTATGACCTGGCCCCTTCCCCACGCTGGCAAGCAGAGGGAATGAGCTCCCCTTCTCTCCGCAGGCAAGAAGCCCTCTTAAAGAAGGGGTCCCCCAGGCACCCAGGCTCCCATGGGACCTCTGGGGAATCAGCAGCAGTCCCTGTCCCACTCAGAGCTGCAGAAAAGCCCGAAGACCAAGCAGTGAGTCTGCAGAGAAGAGGAGGGAGCAGATGCCAGGCTAGAAAAGACAGTCAGACAAGAGCACATGGCTCGCCCAGGCAGTGACAACTTCCCCCAGCCCACGGCAGCACCTTCCCAGCAGGGCAGGCTCTGCAGCTTTAAGAGTCCTCCCCTCCCAGCCTACGGTGTCAAGGAAAAATCTGACACGTTTTTTCTGGTGGATGTTCACGGACAAGCTAGAACAGCCAGTTGCCTTTTCCATTCATTTTCCACACAGCCCCCTGGGACGCCTGCTAATGAAAGAGCCGATTGTGCCCCTGCAGAGGAGCAGGCAGGTAGGGCGGGAGCAGCAGCGGCTCCAGGAGCCCAGCATGGCAGGGTATTAGCACAGCTCGGGAGGAAAGAGCTGCAGAAGAGGGTGCCCTGGGGCAGAGACCCCCACTGCAGGCTGCCTGACAACAGCAGCCCAAGCAACAGGCAAGCAGCCCTGCAGCTACCCAGGGTGGATGTTCAGGTCTTCACAGGCTTTGTGAGACAAGGGCAGCAGTAGCAGCACAGCTGCCCCAGCAGGACAAGATGCCCCCCAGGGGTACAGTAACCTGCCCACCACAGGGAGCACAGCAGGGACACCGTTGCGGTTTCGTAGCCTGCAGCTGGCAGTGCCAGGGTAAGGAACTCACCCCAACCCCTGGCACGGGAGAAAGTCTGAACCAGCCCCACATCCCCCCTCAGGGCACAGGAGGCCCCTCTCCCCACTCAATACCAGGTCTGTCTCTTGCGAGCGGCAGAGCTTTGCTTGGAAAAGACAGAGCGAGCCTTTTCCAGCCCCGCGCAGCCGCTTGCGCGGCCTGAGCCCTGAATGGCCACCTTTATGCAGTAGCTGCTGTCACGAGCCACACTCCGGCGACCACAAATGGCAGCAAATAGCTGAGGGGTTTGTGTTTCCGTGCAGGCTGAGGCACCCTGGCTAACGGAGGTATGGCTTCCGTCACACCCCGCCCCCCCCGGCCCTGACAGGCGGCCCAGGGCACACAATGGCACCTTGTTCCCTTCTGGGGTGGGGGGACTGCACGGGAGGTGCTGTGGCCACCGTCCCTCCTCCCCGCTGCGCACCTCCGGGGCAAGCGAGGCGGCAGGACCCTGTGGAGCGCGGGGCACACAGCCAGGGCAGAGGGAGAGGGACCCCCCCCGGGGACCAGCTCATACATACGTTTCCCACCGCCCTTCAGCAGGTTGCCAAGGCTGACAGAGGCGGTGCCCAGCAGCTCGTTCCTCAGGGTATGGCAGCTCCACACCTTCAGGTCCAAGTGGCTCTGAGCTGTGACGTTCCTGCAGAGACCAGAGAAGGGGGCCATCACTGTAGTCTTGTCCCTGCTCAGGGAGTGGAGCAGTGCCAGGCCTGCCAAAGCCAGGGAGCAGAGAGAAGTGGGCAGGGCCATGGGGCAGTGGGAGACCCCGCTGCCCCTCCTGCTGCCCTCCCAGCCTGGCCATCCCTGGCAGCCTCCTCGTCTGGGGGGGCAAAGACATCTGACATCCGAGCAGCCCCAGCCGATGGCACAGAGGGGTACACCGGGGAGCACAGTGCCAGCCCCGGCAGCAGCCCCACACCAGGGGGTCATGGAGACTTACAGGATGAGGATCTCGTTCCACAGCAGCTCAGAGCTCCCGATCTGCTTCCCTGTCTTCTTGGTCTCGCTGGGAAGACCATCACCCGCCACCTCCACATAGCAGTTCATCCGCGACGGGCGGCTGTGCACCTTGGGCTTCACAGACACAACTGGACAGGGGGGAGAGGCAGAGCGTCAGGCAGCCTCAGGGGAGCCCCCGTCCCCTCTACACCCCCACCATCCCTGCCAGCTTGGGGTGCCACAATTCAACACAGAGTCAAACTGGTTTGGGGAGAGGGGGAGCAAGAAGTGACTCTCCTGATAGCAGCAAGGGCCTGATTCAGGTGCTCCCATCACCATCCCCTGATTGCTGCCTGTCCCCAGCTTCACCCATACCCAAAGGCTGCAGGAGTGTCATGGTCCCCACAGACACCGCCCTACTGTGGGCAATGTGGGGGCAAGGGGGCTCTGCTGGAGCTGCTGGGCAGAGGTACCCACCAGGCAAGGCTCAGCCGGCCCCCAGGCCAGCAGTGCCCTGCACCGGGACTACCCCGGGGACGCAGCTCCAGGGGATGCAGCTCCAGGCGTCGGGAGCCATCTCGCGGCCACGGAGCCACGTCCCAGCAGCCGGGGAGAGGGGGCAGCGGAGCCCAGCTGATGGCTGCTCCACATCCCTGAGAGCCCATGGGACACAGGGCAGTCCCTGCTTCCCACAAGAAGGTCTCCCAGGCCGGGGTGCAGGCAGAGCACATGCCCAGACCAGACGCACCCAAAATCCACATTCCTCACCGCAGGGCTCCCGGCCGCACCTCCGGTGAGGTGGCAGGACCCACCTTTCACGGAGAGCTGAGACTTCTCGCAGGGCGGCCCGGCTCTGGCCCTGCTGGAGCTCGCAGCGGCCATGGCATCACCCCTGGCTGGAAGCAGAGAGAGAGAGAGGAGACACCTCAGCACTGCTCCCACCATATGGAGAAAGCTGGGGCTGCAGCTGGCTCCTGGGTCAGCCCCTCTGGGCCCAAACGCAGCCTGGACGTTAGTGCAAGTGACCCACATGGCAGGGAGACTTGGCAATGGACAGGTACACACAGGGCAACCACAGGTTCCTTCTCACTCCTGATAAACCAGCCCCGCAGCACAGGCAATGGCAACACTGTGTCCTAGGGAGAAACACCCCCTCTTCAACAGCACCACCATGGTCTGAAGAGAGCCGAGCCGAGCTGGGCAGCGCTCAGCCCTCTGGACACCCCATTTGGGCAGCTGCAGCTCACCCTGACCCAAAGGATGGGGCTGATCACAGCCAGCACAAGGACAGAGCAGCCTCCAAAGCCCTCAGCAGATGCAGTCTCACGCCCTGCTCCCTGCTGTTGAGCAGCAGCACCAGCTCAGGAGCAGCCTGCGTGGCCACCACACAAGGAATCCCTTGGAAAGGACGAGGCGGTGACACTGGCAGAAGAGAGGAAGGTCCGGTCACAGTATGGGGAAGCAGTCACATCCCTCAAGGACAACCTGGGTCTCTTCTTGGCAGCAAATCCCACAGAAAAATCCGTCCCATCTACTCTAACACGCTGTGAAGGGGACGGGGACTGCAGCTGCTCTGAGCACAGAGAAGGATCACGCTGCGGAGCAGGCTCCAAGCCCAGACCTCCGCCGCCCCAAGCGCTCACCAATTCCTCGCTCTCCGGCGCCACGTCACTGTCACCACAGGCACAGCGCTCCCCCCTGCCCCTTCTGCTGCAGCTTTCCCCAGGAGTCACCCACCGGGAACAGGGAGCGGGCAGGAAGGGCACAGGCTGTAACACCCCGGGATGCTGGCAGTACACGTGGCTGGGTGCCTCTGCCGAAACAACCGACCACAAAGTAGAAGGATGAGGTCACGGATCACGCAGAAGCACGAGGCGCTCAGTCTGGGACCACAGAGTCAGCTATTGACTCACGCCATCCTCCTGAGCCCGCAGGCAGCACTCCTCCTCTCCACACTTCCCGGGGAGAGGATATGCTGAGTGTGGATGCCCGCAGTAGGTGTCAAGGTCACAAATCAGAGGGTCCCTGCCTGCACAAGCCCCCAACACAGCAGGGAACACAGAGGCATTTGCTGCCCACCCCCTGGCAGGAGCAAAGAGGATCCTCAATCCTGTAACCCGGGGTGAGGGCTCAGATGTGGTCAAACCTGATCGCCCTCCCAGGCCACCACACCCCTCCTGCCTGTCCCTGCCAACTTCTCCCTCCTGCCTGTCCCAACCGCCCCCTGGATCAGGAGAGGGAAGTATGAAAAGGGGAGAAGAGCATCTCCAGCCCCTGCCACCTCCCCTCTCATACAGGGGGGTCTGTCTCTCTTCCCTGCCCTCTCCCCCAACCCTCATTAGACCATCCCAATCTCCACCCCAAACCAGGGTCCTGCTAAAATCCCCTCTCACGAGCCAGGGTCTCCGCTCCCCACCCCTTTCTCCATGCCAGCCCCATGCGACCTCTCCCCCCTCTCCCCCAGCACGACAACCCCTCCCAGCACTCCGTGCTCCACCAAGACCTGGCCAGTGCCTCCTACAATCCACCCCCTCTGCCTGGAAAACCTCGTTTGGTACCGGAGTTGCCACTGTCTCAGCTCTATCTGCCGGCAGTTGGAAGCCCATCTCCTCCCCCTCACCAGTGGGGGAGAGCTGACTTCTGCAGGGAGGTCTTTTCACGAGACTAATTGTGCTTGCTATTACTACAGTTACTCCTACTCCAATTATCCCGGCCCACAGATCGCCCCGGCCTTCCCTTAGGATATTGTTACTCCTGGTTTGTTTGTTATGACTCCCCAGCTCCGCATCACCACTTACTTCATTAGCGCCATTAAGCAGGCCTGCGGAAACAACACGTCCCTCCCGTGCCAGCCTGTGACCAGCCCCTGGGCCACCCCCCCCGGGCAGCTTGTCCTTCGGGGCCTCTCACAGTAACGTTGGTGACCTGTGCCCACAACGTTACCGTGTGAGACCCTCCACAGCGGGGTCTCTAGACCCTCGGTCCTCCCCTCACAGCTACGGCCGCTACTTTTGTTCTTCTCCAGCCATCTTTGACTCGTTTTTCCCCGTTTTCTCGTTCTGCGATTCTACCCCATTTTCACTAACGCTTACGTTAACTCCCCGGGCCACGTTAAATGCCTCTGGGCTACCGGGAAACCCCTCTGGGCGCAGCTTTCCCACCCCGCAGGGCCGAGGCCTCCCCTCTCCAGTGTCCCCCGGGGTTCCCGGCTGGCTGGGAGCCGGGGCAGCGACCCCGGGAGCCGGGCACCCCCCCGCCCACCGCCACCGCCGGTATCGGGGCTCCTGCCCCACAGCCGGAGCCGGGTGCCGGTTCTCCCCCACACAGAACCGGGCCGGGCACCGACGGCCACCGGGGAGGGAGCGAGAGGACAGAGCACCGGCGGAGGCTCCGCGAAGGGGAAGAGGCGGCCAGGACAGCCCTCCCCGCCAGCCCCGCCGCCCCGCACCGGGCCAGGCCTCACCTCACCGGGCCGGTACCGCTGCAGGGTGGGCAAAGCCCACAGCTGAGCGGTACCCGGGGGCACCGGAGGGACCGTACCGGGAAGCCCCGACCTCCCCGCACCCGTCCCGTCCTATCCCGTCCCGCCACCCGAGTTACCGGCGACCGCTCCACTCCCGCTTCCGGCTCCGGCACCCGCCGTCATGTGACACCCAACCCGTCACCTGATCGCGCCGCCCGGAAGCGGTCACGCGGGGCTGCCCGTTTCCCGGCCTGCCCCGGGGAGGACTACACTTCCCGGCGGGCAGCGCGGCGGAGGACGGCGGCCGGCGGGGGACAATGGGGCTCGCAGACATGGCGCGTGTGGCGCACGTTGTGGCCGACACCGGCGCCTTCCTCAGCGCCGCCCCGCTGCAGGTACCGGGGAGGG